CTACGCTGCATTATTTGGTATGTAAATATGTGAAGTATTCTATTATACCCTGCTATACTGCATTTGGTATGTAAATATGTGAAGTATTCTTTATCTCCCCTGCTATACTGCATTTGGTATGTAAATATGTGAATTATTCTATTCTAACCTGCTATACTGCAGTTGTTATGTAAATATGTGAAGTATTCTATTCAAACCTTCTATACTGCATTTGGTATGTAAATATGTGAAGTATTCTATTCTAACCTGCTATACTGCATTTGTTATGTAAATATGTGAAGTATTCTATTCAAACCTTCTATACTGCATTCGGTATGTAAATATGTGAAGTATTCTATTCTACCCTGCTATTCTGCATTTGTTATGTAAATATGTGAAGTATTCTATTCTACCCTGCTACACTGCATTTGGTATGTAAATATGTGAAGTATTCTTTATCTACCCTGCTATACTGCATTTGGTTTGTAAATATGTGAAGTATTCTTTTCTACCCTGCTATACTGCATTTGTTATGTAAATATGTAAATATGTGAAGTATTCTTTTCTACCCTGCTACACTGCATTATTTGGTATGTAAATATGTGAAGTATTCTATTATACCCTGCTTTACTGCATTTGGTATGTAAATATGTGAAGTATTCTTTTCTACCTTGTTATACTGCATTTAGTATGTAAATATGTGAAATATTCTATTCTACCCTGCTATACTGCATTTGGTATGTAAATATGTGAAGTATTCTATTCTACCCTGCTAAACTGTATTTGGTTTGTAAATATGTGAAGTATTCTTTTCTACCCTGCTATACTACATTCGGTATGTAAATATGTGAAGTATTCTTTTCTACCTTGCTATACTGCATTTAGTATGTAAATATGTGAAATATTCTATTCTACCCTGCTATGCTGCATTTGGTATGTAAATATGTGAAGTATTCTATTCTACCCTGCTAAACTGTATTTGGTATGTAAATATGTGAAGTATTCTTTTTTATCCTGCTATACCGCTTTTGTTATGTGAATATGTGAAGCATTCTTTTCTACCTTGCTATACTGCATTCGGTATGTAAATATGTGAAGTATTCTTTTCTACCTTGCTATACTGCATTTGTTATGTAAATATGTGAAGTATTCTTTTCTGCCCTGCTATACTGCATTTTATATGTAAATATAAAAAGTATTCTTTTCTACCCTGCTATACCGCATTTGTTATGTAAATATGTGAAGTATTCTTTTCTACCCTGCTATACTGCATTTGGTTTGTAAATATGTGAAGTTTTTTTTTCTACCCTGCTATACTGCATTTGGTTTGTAAATATTTGAAATATTCTATTCTACCTTGCTATACCGCATTTGGTATGTAAATATGTGAAGTATTCTATTCTTCCCTGTTATACTGCATTTGGTTTGTAAATATGTGAAGTATTCTATTCTACCCTGCTATACTGCATTTGGTTTGTAAATATGTGAAAAGTATGAAGTACTCTTCACTCCCTTCTGTATTGTATTTGTTATGTACATGCTCAATCTACTGTATTGGGTAGTGGTGAATATTTTATTTTTCTGCTTATTTACATACCTAATGCTTATGTCTATTGTGTCGCAGGGACTGACACCTAGGCCTTGAAGCCCCGCAATTTACAGTGTTGTTTATTTAATTTAAATTTTATTTTTATATAAGATTAAACTAAAATTGAAGATATTTTCAAGGAAAATTTGCATCGAGACCAAGGATTCAGAAACAAGACAATTCATACAAACAGCTACATTGTCTAATATCGATGGCAAAAAAAAAAGTATATTGGCAGATTTTAAAAAAGCACCTACAATGTATCATCCAAGCTAGTCAATGTCGAACATTCGGGACAGACTTGGGGCTTTAAATACACTATAATGGATACATAACTTGTCGAAATTAAGAAAAATATTAAAGTTAAATTTAAAAAAGGCAATGCAAACAACGCCACACTTACTTAAATAAAAGGGATTAAAAAAATCGTATGTATGTATTTGGACTAGGGACTTATTTATTCAACTCTCATTTAGGTCAACAGATGTATATGTATGTGCAGATGCTGCTTCAGCCTTCTTTGTCTTGAATGAGATCAGAATATATTCATGGAACCAGTAGCTTTTCTCTGTCTTAAATTAAAGATTTTTCTCATATTTTCCCTTCATTTGAGATTTTTCTTAGTCCTATTCACTTGAAGAAAAAAATCGTTCATGTGTGCTTAACAAGTGCTAACACATTACAGCCTTCGTCATACATGTATATATATATATATGTTCCCTCATAACATTATTTTTAATAACCTGAACGCACAATCAGACGTTTTCTGTTATTTTTATTTTGTTTCCTTCAAAACATAAGGAGACCCTCTTCAGTGTTTAGAAGATAAAACATTTTAAGATTTTGACCAGATATATCGAAGCAAACGTTATCTAAGAAGGCGTGTAGAGGAATCAAGGTGAATATCGTGTAAATATTCAGGTGAAACAGTATTAATTGACTTGCCATTGTTTCATACATTTTTTCATAAAACAACACTTGCCTATTGTTGTTAAATATGATGGCACTCAGAGAACACCCCGGTTTGATGTGGTGGAAACATAAAAAAAGAATGGGTTGTGTATATAAAAGTGTGCACACGCATGACTGGAGATCAGATCAACACCAAAGGGCAAATGCACGACATTTGTGCTGTTTGTGTAGACACGTACTCGAAATTTAAGAGATAACGATCACTTTCGTTCTCTGCATTTTTGGAATACACCATGACAAAATCGAAGGCGCTCGATAAGCTACGGTATTGGATTGGTTTCAGGTAAAAAAAAACTGACCAATCGTTTGGCTGATTCCTGTCTTTTGAAGATTACAGAGGAGCGACAACAAGCTTCAAAGTGTTACGCTGCCGCGTGATTCTTACTATTCGAGGAAGTCGTAGAGAGCTTTCGATTTTGTCTTGAGATATCCCGGGAGTGCAGAGAACGTGAGAGGGTGTGAACCCTGGAAATTCATGGATGGTGTAGAGATAAAATTGACCATCAACATATGGGTTGAACACTGTATTTAACGTAATCAGTCACGTCTATGTCAACTTCTATGAGTAGGACGCTGATGTAATGGTGGGATCTATTGTACGATTTCATCTCGAAACCTCTTAACATTAATTTCATAACTTCAACGTTTACACGTGTATGCATTAATTTCGGAAATAAGAAAATAAAGCTATATTACCATGTACGAAATGTATTTCCTATTAAATTGTATTTCCGTTTAAATTTTCCTTTCTTCATGTTTTAGAGTTTTAATAAGGGGTTTTCTTACAAAGATGTATTCTGATGTTTTCTCTGAATCATATACTTAATGTCCATACATATTTGGATTAATATATTTTTCGTATTAAAATTAGTGCATATGAGCCCAACGTCCACTGCATATAAAACCACAAATGAGCCATATTTGGATTAAACAACACTTGAATATTGTTGCGAAAATATTACGCCTTAGAAAAAACATCGAGTTAATCATTTTCACAACGAGCTCAGCAGAAGTACCTAGGACAGACACTGTGCAGGATCTTTACCTCATCATACAAAGGCCATCATCCTCCACTAGGTCTTCCCTGGGATTCAGGATCCACAAGGAATTGCAATTTCTATGAATGATGTCATTCTATATTTACAACACTATTATTTTACAGCTAAAAAAAAAATACCAGCGTGAAAACCGAACAAGTAAATTATAACCAAACATGAAAAATATAAATAACTGAAACATTAGAGCGAAATTAAATAAAATGAAGCATTAAATAAAGGAAGTTGAAAGCGGATTTTGTTTTTGCCATATGTGGTGCGCATTTTCGACGTTAGGAAAATTCAGGAAGTCATTTTACAACTATCATAGCTTAAATGTCAAATTAAATAAGACACACAACTGCTGCAAATTTGACATTGAAGACAACTGTATGTTTGTATATAGCACTTACTACACATAGTGGCACTGAGTTATTTTTGTTTTGAGATTATCTTAACAAAAAAAATGCTTTGATCTTTAAATATTTCTGCCATTAAGATCCTATAATAATCAGGATTTAAGACAAGGCAATATATCCCGCCTTACTTTACACTTATACACGGGTTTTCGATGTAATATTACGTATTTACCATAATTTGAAATTCAAATGTCCAGCTGTACATTCAACAGCCGGAATGACTTCTGAGGTTAGCCTTAGCAATAGTTAGTGCGTTTTCTTTGATATACAAAGTAGTATGTGAAAAAAAACCCAGAAATATATAACTTCCATTACTATAATTTAATCAAAACATCATTAAACCATACATATATAAAACAACAAATGTTTTGTTTACATGTGTAAATTGATAGCGAGACATTTTAGCTTGTGCGTCTTCAATTTTTATTGCAGAATTCAGGAGTAGTGATTTATTCTTGATTATTGCACCAGCGTGATGGTCTCATTGCATAAAAATGTATGTTAAGTGCTGTGAATATGATGTTCGCAATACCACGAAAAGAGCAAATGTAATGCTGACGAAGATACAGAATTAAAAAAGGCAGAATGTGACTTGTTGATATAGACTTTTTAAGTACTGTAAACATATTTATCTTTCATCAAAATTATTAAAATTTAATGTTTCTTTGTTGTTATTGATAATTTCTCGAAAGAAAAATGTTTACTTACAACTGTTAAATAAATGTATCTTCCTGTTCACTTAATGGATGTATACGAAATTGTCAATCCTTAAAGTAGTAACTGTTTCAAATAACGATACACTGTGCAAACCCAAGCGGAACATCTTACTAACATTACAGGATCCATCATAACATATGTATAAACTAAAACCTCGTTTTCTGTGTAGGAAAGGTGAGAATGAGTCATGATGTTAAACACGCAGTTTTGCGTTTATCGAACCACATCAAATGACGTCCACCCACTTAAAGTCACAGTCGAATAGGTTGACGTGTGATGTTGTCTATAGTTACATTTTTTGTATCAACTTATAAATGTGTCTAAATCAGAAGTAAGTGCATAGGTGTTCAGAACATTGTGTTCTGTGTTAATATGGGCTTCCTTCAATTTGCCATGTACTTCTGTTGTTTTCTTTCGTTGTTTAATGGAATAGACAATGCCGCAACACGACAAGATGTACAAAATCTCCATACCCAGCTGTTAACCAACTATAACAAGGATTTAAGTCCGAACAGTGCCCAGACGGACCCCGTCGCACTGTATGTAACATTCAACTTGTTCTCACTGCAAGAATTTGACGCTCTTAACGGGAAATTGTCCATTCTTGGATCTTTCGGCCTTAACTGGAATGACGACAGAATTGTCTGGAACCCACAACAGCACGGGAACATTACCGTTTTACCTCTAGCCGAGGCCAAGGTCTGGTTTCCTTTCGCTGTGGTTGGAAAGCCATACAGTGAATTAAAACGAATCGGGGTGGACTTTGTCAGGGTGATATACGGGTATAATGGAGATGCCTATTGGGAGGTTCCTAATTTGTTTGAGATTTCCTGCATGGCCAATGTTGCGTATTATCCTACAGATCGGCAAATATGCGAAATTTTCTTCATACCGACAGGATATATTCCAGGTTTCTTTTCGTTGCGTCTTCCTGAAGGTTCAATATCTAAAACGAACTTCACCGAAAACGGGAGCTGGAAAATCCATTCATCACAAATGAGTATAGAAAATATAGCTGATGGTAGTGAAGTAATCAAAATGGTGCTAAAGTTTGAGCGAAGACCACTTTTCATCATTCTGAATTTACTTCTACCTATATCAGTAATATGTTTCCTAAATGTATTCATTTTCATTTTGCCCCCTGAGCCAGGGGAAAGGTCTGCGTTTGGTACCACGATACTTTTGTCTTTGACCGTATTTTTATCAATAGTATCAGATAAACTGCCAAGTTCTTCCCAGCCTCATGTACCTCGCCTCACAATTTACCTTCTTATTCAGCTCCTGTGCAGTAGCATTACAGTAGTGATGGCCATATTTGGACTTCGGATTTATAGAATAGCAGCGGATCGACCAATACCTCACTGGATTCAACGATTGATAACCAGTTGTACCCGACAGAATAAAATCGGAGAAATGAAAAGGAATTCTTTACCTCATGGTGAAGATAGTAGTGTTGGTAGTAGTGAACAATTTTGCAGAAAGACAGAAGCTGGATATTTTATATATACTGGTATCAGTGGAATATCCAGAGATAACCGGAATGTCATGTTTAAGAATAATACTGCGACTCAACAAATCAGTGAAAATTCGTTAGTTCGCTCTGTTTCGCGAACTGGTCAGGATGACATATCAGATGGACAAGACAAAGAAAACACAGGTCGTCAGTTAACCTGGGACGATGTTGGTAAATGGTATGATAAGATTTGTTTAATAGTTTTCATTATTCTCAACTTCTGTATTATACTTTTTGAAATTGTTGATCTGATTATTTACTTGAAAAGTGAATTCTAACTAGATAACGATTTCATTACCTCCTTTTGTGACATTGCTTGTATTCTGTATGCATACTACTACTTTGTTGGCTCCTTCCTAAGGTGTTGTACTCGGAGATTGTATGGTCAACCATAAAGTAATATTTAAATATAAAATTCAGGTATATAAATGTGATATGTTTGATGATAGTTATTGCCTATCATCACATTGGTTGAATCATTTAGAAACATCAGGTCAATATAATACATATTCACTTTATGACGTAATTTATGTTGCCACGTCACAATGCTCTCGGTCAAATGCAGTACCTTGCATATGTTCAATATTGTTTATTGTTTCATGTCTAATATAGCAATTGGGGAATTCTATTTCGGTGAATATGTGTTAAATGGACATAAAAATGATATTTAACTGGACTCGCTTTATCCAGTCCATTTAACCGCATATTAACCTCAACAAAAAGTCCTAAATTGATACTAGTTACCTAGCATACTTTTTGCAAGTAAGGCCTATTGTTCAGTAACGTTAATGTTGTTTACTTGTACGTGTGACTAAGAAACACTATATTTAATACGTATAATTTTAAATATTTTCAAATTTCATATGCTTGTATAGAAGTCATATGGTCCACACAAACACATTTGTCTGAAAATTAATGTTGTATTCTTGTCAATACACGTTTACACGATATTGTTTTTTTGTGTGTGTTGTTTTTAATCATTTTAAAATTATTGCAGGAAAAAATCTATTAAAATATAAAATCTTAGTTTGTGTTGCTCTCTTATAATTCATTTTTGATTCGTGTACGGTTTACATTCGTATATTGTCTTACATTGTCAAATGAAAGGAATCTATATAGGTATAACAAAAGACATAGATCACTTGAGTTAATTTATGAAGGAACCAAATCAGATATCTACTGCATGTATGAAACACAATGGGACTGTCCATGGTAGTAAGAAAACGAGAACAAACTCATTAATTGTTTAGGTACAACGAACAAACATCTTATTATGACGAGTTTCCTACTGTCGACACACCTGCTAAGAGCGTGTTTCACATTTGGTTTTTATTATGTAAAACGAACGTGTAAAAGCTATAAATTTGAAAGCTGTATGACGAAGCTTAATTCATTTTAGACATGCTGTATCTGTTACTAATATTTTATAGGTGTTATTACCAGTGTGTGGGATAGGGTCGCCGTTCATGCTCCATGTTAAACTTGATGATATATGCCATTGATAAATGAAAACATCAACAGTTAAAACACCAACAGTCAGAAACAAACATTTACGTGGGATAGGTTCAGTAATTACAGCGCTGCCTGCTCAGCTGTAAAAGTTTGTGGCTTTAATTCTAATTTACATGTAGCGTCTTAAATACTCACCAGGCAATAAAACAGATATAATAATTTCAGAAACACGTACATTTTTTCATATAAACACCAATCTGATAGCACTTTAAAGCTTGTGAAATGTGTTCCTACCTCATGCTACCATTATCAGAGTATCCATTTTAAAAACATCATTTACCTATTTACACATGACGACCCTCGAAAGTGAACAAATGTATATCAACATTAGAGATCTCTCGTAAGCGGTTTAAATAGGTTAAAAAGAGCGTTCCTGTCACGAGTCATGTTTTCTTTACTTAAGGCATTTCCTAAATATAATAAAATTGAACCTACAAACCAATAGAGTGACAGTTATAATCAGATTTATACTTGCAACAAAGAAGAATTTAAAAAAATTAACTGTGTTTTTAAGTTTAGATAATCTTTCACAGACCACTATAACAATTAATAATGGCACCTGTCACATTGAAATGACGTTGTTTTAGAACACCAGTCAACAAGATACTGCACATTTTTAACTCAGTCAGATATTTTATACACTCCCTAGTCACGATGTTCTCTGACAGGAGGTCAGTGCGTTCATGAATGTTAACTCATAGAGATGCACTATGCGTTTTACATGAAAGCCTCTTATGGATAACGTTTCTCTATAAAAGTGAATGAACACTAGCAAATGACGTTCGGATCTAGATGGGCTTTGATGATTTACAGATCTCATCCCTTGGTTGGGAATTTCCTTATCAAGGCGTGCCCAAAGGTGTTAAACAATATGTTTTCTTGCTCTAATAAATGTTTAGGTTACATGTCAATGTTTGCACAAGTGCATGTCGTATGAATATTGTTAATTACTAAGACGGACAAGGCCAGACGCTTCACGATTTTTCACTTTATATATATAGATGGGAGAGTCTATCAGGTATGTTTACCTTTATAGTTATGCAGGTAAAATATCTACATTGTATGTCTCTATAAGCACAGAGAAGGGCTGACTGCAGTCATTGTGGGTTGCCATACTAAAAATGGATATAATTATTCATAACTAATATGTTTGAAATCAGTTCATTTGAATAGCAGTTACGGTATGAAAATCCATGATTCAATCAGAGAGAAGTAACATAAACAATTATACGTATATATATGAATATGTTTTGAATCCCGTTGCATACTTACCAATTTTAGGGCAGTTATTCAACACAAACTAAAACGTGACTGTCGGACGGACAGATATACCAAAATTAACATTCCCTATTTCCTCAAAAAGGCAAGAAATAAATATTCAATTTTTTCGTCAAAATTCGTTGACTTTGCCTTCTCCTATTCGGTAAAAAAAAAATCATAAGAGTTTGGAGACATTTAGCATTAATTGGTCTTTGCTCAAAATCGTCCCTGCTGGCGACCTCTGAAGGATGATCGGTTTTTATATATATGTAAGCGACATTAGTCATGAACGCAAAATAAATGCAAATATCATTTTTCATTCAAACCACCAGATATAACTACTACTACTACTGGGAGAACAAATACTGTAAACAGGGAAAATGTTTGCCTTGTCAAAAATTCACCCTTTTTACCGGTAAATTTCCATAGACATTTATCCAAGCATATTTCTGGCCATAAAGTGGAAATCGTTTAAAGTAAAAAAAATATTGACGCCCTGGATGGTCGGAAGACGGACGTCGCGCCATGGCATAAGCTCGCTATGCCCTTCGGCCCAGGTGAGCAAAGAAGCCCGTCTACCAAACTCTATGGTGCTATTGACATGTTATAACTCTGATGAACTATTATTACAACTTTTATACCATTAAATCAACTCCAAAGTGTTATAAAAAGATACAAAATTTTACTGTCATGGCATACTCGTCATACGGTACTGGTAAGAGTCACAGAATTCAATTTTTAACATACTGTACAAGAAAGATTTCCAAGGTTAAACTAACACTTGGTATAAGTAATACTAAATAGAGATTCCGCGCCCTGTTATTGGCAGTCAGCAATAGTATAATAGACCTAGTAGCTCCTTTCAATTAATACCAGAGGGAATGAAAACCTATTTACCTCCAGCTGATGTATTTAAGTGTAAAAATGTGACAGACATTGAACCCAATGTGATCTGTGATCATACTTTGGTAACACGTTACATGAAAAAAGGGGTCAAGACATTTCAATTTAAAAAACAATATATATATTTTACAATATTTCTATTATTTTTCCCGAAAAAAAACGTGTTTTAGTGATTTTACCGCTGTTTCGATGAATCCGTAGACTAAAAATCACCTTTAAAAGCATTTTTTTTTTTTTTTAAAGCGGTAGAGCAAAAATTAAGGTTCTTTTGAAAAGAGAAGTAGTGGAGCAAGCAAGGAGTTAAACTGTATCATATACGTAAGTAAGTATAATGTATAAGAAATAGTCTAATGAAATAACCATGGTACCAGAATTATTTGGATGTCGCTGTCATGACAAGCAGACGGAGCCTGGCTAATCTATCTTATTAAAACCATATCTTGATCTACGCTCCGTTCTGTAAACTACACTCTGCTATGTAGTTTAGGGAACGAGACGCAGGTCAAGATATGGTTTTAATCAGATTGTGGTTGGCCGTGAGACCTTAAAGTATACTATTTTATTTATATATTTATTTTATTCTACAAATTACCCTCATGTCTAATTGGCAAGAAGCTCTCTCATCAGCACATGACCTTTGATTCATTCTTTGGATTTAATGTATTCTACAGGATCAGATACAGCAAATCAAGAGAGTTTAAAATGGTTGGGAAGGGACCATGCTCCCCGAAATCCACCCTTCAACCCCCGCATACACACATACACAGATTCATTTTGTGTGTTTCAGAGTACAATTTACCTTGTTAAAAATAGATCTAGTCAAATCTTGGTTATTTCAATATTGCTCTTTTTTACTTTTGGAATTCAACAAGTGCCCTATGGTTGCATTCCACACCGTATTTTCAAATAAAACTTTAGATGCCCCAAATTATGTAGGTTGCTAGATCGCTTGACGGGAAATGGGAACATGCCTGTCATCTTGTGCGGCTAGTTTAGCTTCCCCAATATTGACTGATCAACTACTCGGTGCCAGTCAAGACCATCTCGTGGTGGCAGAGTACAGTAGAAATGGCTTGACCCTAAAAATAAAGGGCATGTCTCGGATGAACATGGAAAGCGGATTCATCCTGCACAACACACCTACATATATATATATATTTATAAACTACATTTTGAATAGGTGTTTTTTAGAAGAACATTTTTTTTTCAAAAAGTGATTTCCCCAGATTTGGGACTTCTGAAAACCATGGTTACCACATCAAAAAACACCAAAATATGCAAAAAATCATTATTTTTTACCCAGAATTTGACCCCCGCGAGTAGAATTGTTTTTCTTAAAACCTGTCTGAAATTAAGTATCGCCTACTCGGTAACAGAAATACTCACGTTTTAGCATTGGTCATTCCGGTGGATTTTTCACAATATTTACACATGTGCTGAGTACAAAAATAGACTACCTGAAAAGCTAGCTTTTGTTGTGTAGACACAGATTCGTAAATGCCCAAAATTGTAGTCTCAAACCAAATTCGACTTTTCTTTTTTTTAAATTATGAAGCCCACATAGTCCACTTCATCATGTATATGCCAATTTTAGTGCTGATTTTTTTTTTAAATTTTGATACATGTTATATTACAGGGGTTATTCATTGTATAAAAATATCACCCATGGCCACCGTACGCTACTGTACTCTGCTACCTTATACATCCCTTTTTTTCCCCCAAAATTCAATCAAAACCTTTTAAATGTCTGGAAAATGACACAATGAACAAAAAGATGTATCCGTTTCCTTTCTCACTTTAAAAGTGACCGAGTAATATGAATTCTCCTGCTAGGTGATTTTTTACCAATTCTGCTCTCAAACTACCAACAAAGGGAGGTAATCTGAAAAATTAAAACTTGAATAACTTTGTAGTTTTCAGGAATAATTTTTTTTTTGGGGTAAAATATGATGCTTTAAGATCATGTGCATGTGAAAAACAAAACAGAACAGTGATACAAGGATGTTTCTGTCTTGTGTGATGACGTCATAGTTACTGTGATGTCATCATAACTATGACGTCATCAATGGGCATATGTGACATCATCAAGGCTCACTGATATCAAAATGAATACCAGGAAACCCATCACAACAACAAACTAGAAACAGACACACTTCCCGTAACCGATGAACAGCACAAAACTGTCAGATATTCTGAAACATCAGACAAATGACACCATAGCAACCGTTGTTTACTTTCCTCGCCTAGAATTGACAGTGACCCCAGACATTGGTCATTTTACATATTTCACTAGAAAAAAAAGTTTTCTTCAGCTGTAATTATGGAAATAAAATTTATTGACATTATTGACTTTGTTAATTTAATCTGTAAGCTGAATCAAGTGGAAAAAAACATATAAAATAGTGTAATTAGAATGAAAACAGATATTTTACCCATTTTCAATAAATACAACTTTATGTGTTAGTTACCATGGATACCGGGTGCTGAACTAAGTGAAACAGACTGAAATCTGGTCTGAATGCATCAGGAGATAGCCTGTTAATTATTTGTTGTTTGGTATCAACTTTACCAATTACACAATTGACACATATGTGATGAAGTGTGAAGTGCCTGTGAAAAGGGCGAGTTAACCCCTCTTTATACATTCACAGGTAATAGGCTAGTGACCTATATATTGACCTTTATATGTAACTTTTTAAACGTTTTGAGTAGTTTTAAGCAATAATGAATGAAAGTGAAGCTGAATAAAGCATAAAAAGGCTTTTTTTCAGAAAAAATCAATGTCTGTGTGTATAAGGTGGCAGAGTACAGTAGAAATGGCTTGACCCTAAAAATAAAGGGCATGTCTCGGATAAACATGGATAGCGGATTCATCCTGCACAACACACCTACATATATATATATATTTATAAACTACATTTTTAATAGGTGTTTTTTAGAAGAACATTTTTTTTTTCAAAAAGTGATTTCCCCAGATTTGGGACTTCTGAAAACCATGGTTACCACATCAAAAAACACCAAAATATGCAAAAAATCATGATTTTTAACCCAGAATTTGACCCCCGCAAGTAGAATTGTTTTTCTTAAAACCTGTCTGAAATTAAATATCGCCTACTCGGTAACAGAAATACTCACGTTTTAGCATAGGTCATTCCGGTGGATTTTTCACAATATTTACACATGTGCTGAGTACAAAAATAGACTACATGAAAAGCTAGCTTTTGTTGTGTAGACACAGATTCGTAAATGCCCAAAATTGTAGTCTCAAACCAAATTCGACTTTTCTTTTTTTTAAATTATGAAGCCAACATAGTCCACTTCATCATGTATATGCCAATTTTAGTGCTGATTTTTTTTTAAATTTTGATACATGTTATATTACAGGGGTTATTCATTGTATAAAAATATCACCCATGGCCACCGTACGCTACTGTACTCTGCGCTACCTGTTCAGCAGTCTCACAACTAATCCATCATTTATCAAGAGCACGGCAAATTTTCCCAGGCATCTTAGACCATGACATTGCCATTACAAACTCGTATACCAAACCAAAAAAACGTTGTCAGGAAACCAACCTACCTCACAACTTGTAATCTTGCGCAGAACATCAAGGGAATGTACGATATTGGAGACAGCCTTGACAGCCTCTGGAACACAATTAAAGCGGTCGAGTCCATTATCCCTTTCAAACCATACGAACAAAGAAATACCTTACCTTGGGTTAACAACAGACGTAAGAGGCTTCTACAGAAGAAGCGCCGGTTATAAAAGTGATCGCAATACTCAGAAGGAATGTGAGCGTGGTTTCAGGCATGTGGAGTGGGCTTATCGAAACAAAACTATTAATGAAGGCTTTGCTAACAACAACAGCAAGCCCTTCTGGAAATATATTTAATCAAAGAAGCAAGACAATATCGGTGTGACTAAAGAATCTGACTCCGCTGAAATTCTATAATCAACCTCACAGTGACAACCAAGCAAAGGCTGGGGTTCTTCTCGAATAATTCAGTTCAGTGTTCACTCGATGTCAACCATCATCACCTCCACCCATTACACAGAGTCATGTGAAGGACCCCAATCTCTGACATCATCATACCTGAGAATGGGAATAAGAAACTGTTTACAGACATAAAAGTTTCGAAAAAATTTGAACCTGACAACATCCCCAACAAGATACTGCATGTGTGACTGGCTGAATGCAAATGTTGCTCCTGTCTTTAAGAAAGTAGGCAAACTGGTCAATGTAATCGGTGCCAGCCAGTTGCCTACATATCATTAGTAAGATCTACTTTGGAGTACGGGGTCATTATTTGGTATTCCTATGCGAAGGCTTACATGTAAGTTGGAAAGATTAAGAAACGGAGACTATATATCGCTCAGTAGATCCAGGGACCACCCAGTGCGTGCTGTCGGATCTGGACCTTCAATCACTATAAAACAGGAGAAAGAAGTTGCGCCTGATATTTCCTATTTTAAAGTGATTGAGGGGTTAGTGTCAGCACTGCCGTCATCCTAATATCTCAAAGTTAGAACCCGGTACAGAAACTTCAAAGAAACCACTCACAGTCACTATTACTGGAGTTAATACAAGCATATTCGTGAGGACTTTACCTGAGTGGAACCAACTCCAGGAGACAATCGTCATCATCAAAAAGCCTAGGGCATTCATAGCGGGCCTAGTCAGCTTAAATTGACTGTATCATTCGCTATCTCCCCGTTAAAATCATGTCAGTCGGCTCGGCATACATCCGTTTGGTTTAATCCCACAGTGGTTATAGGTATGGTGTGGTTTTCCTAGCTTGATAGAGTCCTAAGTGATGCTCTCAAAGGGAAGTTGTCCTAACATTACTCAAATAATTGCACATACAAATAATTGAAGAAAGGTACAACTCAATTGGTTTGGTTTGGTTTCGTTTGGTTTTATGTTGTTTAACGTCCCATTATAAACAGCTAAGGTAATTTAAGGACGTGCCTCTATGTATGTACTGTAGTGTATGTATGCTTTTGTGTGTGTATGCAGGAGAAAGGGTATGTTGGTGTGCTTGTCTCCTTGTGATAGCGGTGAACTGATGCCGACTTTATAGTGCTATCTCACGTAAATACCATGCCGAAGGCACCCAGCACAGCATTCCGCCCGGTCACATTATACTGACAACAGGTGAACCAGTTGTTGCCATTCCCCTTAATGCTGAATGTTAGGCAGGGAATAACAACTACCATTATTAAGGACTTTGAAATGTCCCGACCTGGGAACAGAACCCATTGCCTTCCTCATCTGGGCGAACGCTCAACATTAAGGCCAAAAGTGGGGTGTTCAGTGCCAAGCAAGTCGCTAGGAAATAAAAGGTAGTTAGAAGTAGAAAGAAAGATAAAGATCTCAAATACTGCAATGGGCGTAGCAGATTTATTTTGGTCGCTTTTGTGTCCCCAAATAGAGGACACCAAAGCAAATCCCCAATTCTGTGGAGGGTTCGCACATTAGTCACCTCCTACGATACATGCAGTGGGTAACAGGTATTATATCTTTTCCCGATCTTTTCACCTGCAGAGGTGACAATTCAATTGAAGATAGGTTCAATTCAATTGTACCTTTCCGGCTTTATATAATTAATTAAGATAGGTACAATTATTTGTACCTATATCCAATTGAATTGTACCTATCTCCAATCATTTAATTGAAGAACATATACATGTATCTTCAATTAAATTGAACACATCTTCAATTATTTGATTGGTACAATTAATTGAATATATGTTAATTTCGGCTCTATATTTTCTGTTGTGGCTTTCCGTAGCACCGATTTCCATTCTGCCTTGGTTGGAGAGTTTGATAGTAGCCATTTCTACTCTAGAAATGTTCGTTCTGCCATTCAAGTCAGAATCTTATCATTTTTGCTGACACAAGTTCTATACTCGTGTACTCAACTCATTAGGACATTATCGGGGTTATTATTTACCGAAACACATTGTTTTCATATCTGGAATGTAACATTCAAACGAATAGTCTCATTACCACGGACTTAGATCTAGATCCAACCATCTAACGTTTTCCGAGTTACTTCCCTTCATTCACAGCGTGACTGGATATCCAGTCACGCTGTGAATGAAGGGAAGTATTACTGGACAACAGCATGTTCGTTGTATCTAAAGCTGATTAAAATATTTAAACGTTTAACATGCTTTCGCGTTCGCTAATATTAGTGTGCAGTTTAACATTAGTAAGTAAAACACGTCATGTGTGGTGAAATCGGAATTTTAATGCCGGATACGGTTTCCCGGAAAAGGAGTTTAGAATACCGGAAACTTCCAATGCGCATGTCAAAAAAGTCGTAGCAACGAAAGCAAGATTTTACCAAAACGTAAACTTAAGAGACATTCACCATGGTAAGTAAACCTTATATATACGACCTTAAGCCATAGTTTCAACATTATGCGATTCGTTTATTTTAATAATAACTGGTCATAAAATGGACAGCATACTTAACACATTCTGTTCATTATTGAAACGCGGACTTGTTTGGCATGTGATTATGATCAACATTCACGATGCAAAATTTAATATTGAACATTTGATGTCACAAAAACAACCCCGATTATACTTCTGTAAGTGAATATTGTGTTTTAAACACTCTAACGCTAAGAATATGCTCATCTGGGCTTTCAAAAATGAACCCTTGAGAGGTAATTCGACTCTATTCAGTCACAGGGTCAACTTACAAATGTCTGAAATACACATATGGGTTACAACACGCATAAACATGTGTATGTTTATGTGTGTTGTGACCCAAATCAGTATAGCATATGTGTATTTCAGACATTTGTAACGTGACCCTGTGATTCAGTATTGGACATGTGTTTTGACTCTCCAATTTTTTTATTTTTTTTTACTTCTAAAATTGCTTTTTACCAAGTGTCAACTGAAAACGTTGGCAACATATATGTGTGAATTTTGTAGCACATTTCGCTGTAAGAAATTAAATTTTAATAAATCATCAGAATCTTTATTAACCAACCCCCCACGAATCACTGATTCAATGATGAATCATCATAACACTAAAGAACCAGAGTGTTAGGTCCATCTCTCTTCCTATTCTGTCGGTGTGAATTCCACTGCATGCTTTTTACCAGATGACATCATTGCATATCTAACTATTACATGTCCTTCCAATGCTCTTTGCCTTCAAGAAGACCTGGATATATAAGCTAACATGATCTGAAAAGTAATTGGAAATGTCATTCCACCCAGACAATTGTAGCATCCTCTCCATTACAAACAATGAACAGGTCCAACATCACATTTACTTACTTACAACATGTAGACAATGCCAAATACCTAGGCAACACTATACAGTCGTACCTGAAATGGGAATCCCACATATCAAACATCTGTCACAGTGTGGAAAGCCAATTCCACTCTGGGCTTTTTCCATATGAACTTTTAAGATCGGTTTAAGTTCTGCCAAGGAGCAGGCATATATATAAAACCCTAGTAAGACCATCTCTAGAAAATGCCTGCTCAGTTTTGGACCCTTACAACCAGACTGACATAAACAAATAAAACAATATAAAAATGGTACAAAGAAGAGCAGCCAGGTTTATCACCAACAATCACAGAAACACCTCCAGTGTTGGTGACATGAAATCAACCCTATACTGGCATTCCCTTGAACACAGAAGGAAAGATATGCGGCTTAAACCACACTACACAAAATAACATACAATAAAAATAACATCAGAAGAGATCTCCTTGTCCATCTAATCCACCTTACAAAGTTACAAGATAACACCAAGCCCACCAGAATACCTATCAAACTCTCTCATGTAGAACACAGGCACGTAAATACTTCTTCTCTCCTGGAAAAATCATTGACTGGAACTCCTTGCAACCTGACATCGCATCAATCCCCTCGACTTTGGCTTTCAAATCTGCAATACGCTCTTTCCACTATATGCCATTATTTTTCTATCTGTCCCTCTCTCTCATTCCTTCTCTTCTTAGTGTTAACCCCCTCTCACTCACACCTTGACACAATCATCAGCTTGATGAAGGTGGTCAGTGTTTTGTAGATGTAGATAGTTAATCTTCATCAATATTATGCAGTTTCAGTCATGTAAGTAATTTTCATAGACTTTACAGCAGTTCACCTTGTGTAACAGGTCATGTGTAAAATGAGGTGTATGTTTTATTTCCAGACTGAAATCGAAGAAACCTTCAAGAGAATATCTGCACATAAAGGTGTAATTGGGATTGTCGTTGTCAATCATGAAGGTAACTTGTTCACATTTACTTTCAGTCATGTCTTCTGCATATCATATATCTTTAAACTCCGGTTGGTATCTGTTTTATTGTAGATGACCTGAAATTGTCAACCATAAAAAGTAATTGATTGTCTGAGGCTAAGGGGACAAGCATATTGATTTTCAAGTCAATATTTTGGAGTATACATATTTAAATATATTTTTTATAAAATGTTTGTAATGTTTGTTTTTACAGGCATTCCCATCAGATCGACACTTGATAATTCCGTTACCATACAGTATGCTGGTCTATTTCATCAGCTCACACAGAAGGCGCGGAGTACTGTACGAGACATAGACCCACAGAATGATCTTACGTTTCTCAGAATTCGGTCAAAAAAACATGAGATAATGGTAGCACCAGGTAAGAAAGTCTTACAATAATTTGTGTCTTATAAATCTTATTATTTTCAGTCCATGGATTCAATTTCAGGAAACCTGAAAATCATTACCAAATTATATAACCTTAGGTTATTGTAAAATGATAAAAAGCTGAAATTCCAACTAAAGAGTTTTCTTAATTAGTATGCTTAGTGTTTCCATTAATTTTGTATGATTTCTTGGTTGGAGTTTCTCAAATTCATCTATCTTGAAGAGTGCTATATACAGTATTATTTTCTCCAGAAGAAGGGATTGTGAATTCCCCCCACCCCCCAAATTTCTATATTCTGCCTGTGTCAAACTACCGATGCCACCCAATTTATTTTTAAATTTGTAGAAAAAAACACTATACAAATACCAGTGCATGTATTATATTCAATGTTGGTCACTGTACGTGGCCTAATTTTTTCCACTTAATTGACTTTGCTAGAATTTTGTTCCATTTCAATCACAGCAAGAGTAGGGACGTAATATTGTTTGATTTTTAAACGCCTGTTGAAAAAAATTGATGGGACATATAATGGTATGGTAGGCATCAGTTATGATGGCTGTCCATCTGCATATCCGTCCACACTTTGTTTTTTATAAGATAACTTTGCTTAAATATCTTTTGATTTTGATGAAAATTTATAAGTACATATGTATGTACTTATATAAAAACTGATACTACCCGGTATTGTTAGAACTGCCCTGCGGTTCTCTTGCTTCAAAATTTTCTAGACATTTCAATGAATTGAACATTTTTAATGTAAAGGTTCAAGATATACAAAGAAAACATCTTATCAATCAACAGGTCAAATTAGCATCCTTATATTTGTGAGAAAACTATTTATCAAATGTAAATTTTTCATTTGATATTTTAAATTCATTGGTAGTGATGATCAGTTATAATGGAAAAAACAATTGGTTTCCCCATTCCTTTTTTTTTTTTATATAAATAATGTTAAAAACAATAAAATCTGTGTAAAATTTAAACAACTCTGTCTATTGATATTACCATGGTGCAATAGTGATGTCCCATTCAGTCCAATACAATTATGAACTGATAATATATGATCATTGATTGGTTTGCAGCTTCCAGATACAGTTTAAAGTATATTGCCCATCTTAATATAAAGTTTAGTTAGAACGATAGAAAGACATTGTAAGGTGATCAAGACAAAGCAAAGTTACACAATCTTGACAATTGTTTCGTAATATAAATCATACAGGTAAACAAGATGTGTGAGATTTATGATCATGTCGTACATTTGATCATTTATCATTGTTTTTATGTTTTTAACAAATAAGTAAAATAACAATGTCTTGATGACATATCGTCAAAGATTCACTATAGACAATTAGTGACAATGTAACATACTTTTACTTAAGTGTAATGATGTGTAAATTATGGTTGTAAAAAGTTCCTTCATTATTGATTTGTTTTCTCTCCATTCTGTCTCACAGACCAGGAGTACTTATTGATAGTCATCCAGAATCCGAACGAAGCAGTATAGGTTAGAGTGATTTATGTCTGGCTGCTAAACACGTGTCTGCTTTCTATTAAAATGAAATGCATTAATGTGTGATCAAATAATTTGGCTAAAACATTCTAGAGTACAAGATTTGATTAAGACATTTTATTTAGTTAGATTATGACTGACTTATATCTATTAAATTATGTTGCTTTGTTATGATAATTATATATGTTAATACATTTTGTAATTGGTTAACATGTGCATATTGGGGTGTAAAATTCCACTAGCCTGATGCTAGGGAGCTAGTAAATTTTATGTTGAAGTTTTCAAAATCAACCAGCTGTGGGCTAGTATTCTCAGCATTGAATTATACACCCCTGAATTAAATTTAACTTGCTTAATTCAGCATTGATCAGATACTTATGACGGTGCTTCATCGATTCAGAAGAAAAATTACACCGGATTCCAAATGTTACAAAAATACATATTATGTATTTTGTCTGCTTTGGACCAAACTTTTAAAAATCTAGCACTAAATAACTTTGGTTGAATATTAAGGCATTAGATTAAATTTTGATTGGCAACTTAATATAATGTGGCTGAGTGTTCTAAAGGGCATTTATTTGGTTTTGATTGGCTAATGTAGTGAAAATGTTATACTTCGTTCGTGTACCAAGTTTGAATGGCTATATAATGGCTAAACATTGAGTGACTGATTGTACTAATATTGCTTGAATAAATGTTGGTTGTGGCTAGTTTGTCCGGACTAGTAGTGAAAGGAAAGACTAAGTTTGTTTTGAACACAAACATAATTCGAAAACTTGATTTGCGAGCTAACAGAAACATCTGTTTCCTTTGTCAAGCAAAAAAGTGCAATTGACCGGTTTCTCGATTTAAACCGCTGAAAACAACGGCTACAAATTAATAAACAAAAAGAGTAATTTTCAGCGGTTGAGAGTTGAGACACTGGTCAGTTACACTCCATGCTTGACAAAGGACTCAAAGCTTGCAAAATAAGTTTTCAATTCCTGTTTAGTTGAAAATGGAATGAAAAAATGATAATCAGTTAGCTGGTTATAAAACAAAATTGGACCCTTTCATCAACATCTCAGCAATCAATTATCAGAATTGCATCTTATTTAATTTCATAATCTAACCTTGTATATTGATTGATGTAAAAAATTGTTTGCTTTAGTAAAAAAAATATCATATTTGAAAATCTAGGTGAAATGTACATAAATATATATAGAATATCATTACAAGATGAGTTTGAATATTGTTTAATACATTTAAGCCCAGTTTCAAAAAAAATGTGCATGTATAAAATTATGGTTCTGAAATTGATTAAATCTTGTAACGATACTAAGAAAGATAAGATTTTGATAGTTCACTGTATAAGAAAAAAAGAAATTACTGAAACTGATAAGATTTTTATTTGCGCATCAATTTGTGGCATATTATTAATGAAAATGAAGAAAGTAAATCAGTGATATGCTGATGAAAATGCGGTGTGATGTCAACCAAAATTATAATTTGTTTAAGGATATAAGCTACCTAACTGACAAATTACCTCCTTTATAAAGAGTTCCATTATAAAAAAAAGTGATATATCTTGTGTTACATTAATAGAAATGTTACGTGTTTAATTTAATTGGTGACATGTTTGAATGGAGTATTAAATACTCAAGCTGTTGTGAATAATCAGATATAAAAACCCCATTGTAAGGTAAGATAACAAATCACTTGTATACAATGTAAATGTAGCATATATCCTTAGCACAGTAGTGGTACAATCTACATGTATTGTCATCTTTCTGAAATCTTACTGATGTGTTGTTTTTTGTTTTTGTGTTTTCAGAGAAGGATTATCTGATGATAGTAATCCAGTCTCCTAAAGTTCTCTGAGAGTTCCCAAGACTGGACAAAATCATACTGTGATCTTCATCATCATCATGTTTAGGGTTCCCCTCCATGGAAACATCAGACTTTGACATGTATACAGACTGACATATGATGCTACATACAATGTTCAACTAAATGTATATAGATCTTATTTATAAACCTATTACAAAGTCAATGTAGTAGGAAATAATAACTGTAATGTACGTAACTATGTGTGTAGCATTATAGTAAGTCAGTCATGGTACATAAAAATCAATACAAAGATTGAGTTTTCATTTTTTGGACCAGCCAAATAACTCAACAACACACTTTGGGATTTTCAACAAAAGGGGGATTATTTATTCACGTCTATCTCCGCTATTTCATGAAAATAAATATGTAAACATACACATATAAAGTATTTGTTGAAATGTTGTTGTTATTGTTTGAACCTTGCTGTCTAGCTTAGCTAGAAAAAACAAGAGTGGTACATGTAGAAAATTTATCATTTCAACCATTATATAATTATCATCTATTGTCCGTCCGTCCGTCCACATACACTTTTTCTTTAAAAACTCTTGAATATTTGCCAAATAACCAAGAAGCCTGGGATCATGACATTTCAAATAAGTGACTTTGACACTCTCTAGATTACAGCCTTTCTAGGCGTCTTGAATAACTGTGAAGCCTATGGTAGTTATATTTGGCCTGCCAAATGTTAAAAGGTCTAGTTCAATAAGCAATATTAATATTAGAGGGAAAGGAGGCAGCTCTTTGGATTAGCTGTCATGTGAACTCATTTCCAATATTTAAAAGAAAACGACTTTATATGCAATAGATCTTGTAAACTTTAATCACAGAAAGCAATTGCACAATGCAGAGACACTGGGTCACTAAGACAATACAAAGAATAAAGATGATTACAAATTAAAACCCAACTTATAGGTACATGTACTAAATTGTTGATTTAATCAACAGTTAACGAGCTTGTAATAACACATACTGATCTATAAACACTGCCATTGCCATTTTACTTCATCTTGTATAACAACTTTGTGACAAACTCCACAAAGACTATCAGTACGTGTGCATGCATGTTGCATGTTCCTGGTCACAGCACCAATTTTTGATACAACTTTGGCAGGATGGAGGGATATTATAATGTAAATGTAAAACCTGGAACCAAACTCAGGAATCATCTGGGAACCAAAAAAAATCTAAGTGATTTAGATCAACTTACTGGACTGAAAGCAATGAACATAGAAAAATCCTCTTATAACAATCTAGATGAACCATCTGAGGAAACTGGTAAACAACAATAAAACCCATACCAGATATGTATATAAAAAATGTATTTCTAAATGGCCTGGAAAATTGGTGGATCGAGACCTAGTCATGGTGGTCTTGTACATTGTATCACATATTTTGATAAAGTGAGGCTTGACTAAAACTTAAAATTTTAATATTTGCGGAGTTGGATCTTGACTTCTACCTATATATATATATACAGTGTATGTTTCTTATCTATTTCTTTTTTAAATTTTGGTCCCCTGAATTCCCCTTAATTATACAGGGTATCAAATTTTTTTGTCAGTTATATGCACTTTTAGAGAAGTAGAAATGTGGAAAGAAACAGAAAGTCCTACAAAAGTAAGCAGATGCTTACAATCTGGTAAAGCCCAAGTTTCCTCTGACCCTGACACAAGACTTTTATACATCTCATCTATTTGTCAAAATTTCTGAAGTCTTGTGTCAGGACCAGCTTAGGAAACTGAGGCTATATCTGCTAACGCTCTGGTGAGATGATAATACAGTGTATATTCCGTCTTTGTGTATTGCAGAGTTATCCTCTCTTGGGGCAGGTATTGATTGTTACGTCATTGGTTTGTGAGAAAATTACGTTGTTTTCTCAAAAATTGATGACATTACTCTCACAAACAAGTGATGTAACAATCAATACCTGCTCCCAAGAGAAGATAACTCTGCAATATGCAAAGACGGAATATAATGAACCATAATCGAATGCAAATGATTAACACTATAGATAAATAAAATTTTGCAAAATATGGTTATATGTTACCATACAAGTCATTTATGCAGATTTACCTCCCTTATGTATAAGTGCCATTTGTAATTATTCATAATAACGGGTTTAAAATCAATTCAATGCATATTCATTTTTGTATACTGTCCAAATGTTTGATCAATTGATTTATTAAACGATTTATGAAAAAAAATACCTATCATGAACCTCTTTTAGAATGAGGAGATTTTTATCACATGATGGACATGTAGGATATACCTTATTAATTATCTAAACTGATTTTTGAAATTTGTGAAAACTGTAAATGTAAACCATGTAAAAAACAGTTGTTCATTTTGAAAGCAGCATGGATTTTTCATGCAGAACTTCATCTCCTTGGGATGATGGGTTAATTTTGTTGTTGAAAGTATTGTCAGTTAAAAAAGCGAAATTCATTTGACACATTATCGATAAGAAAATAATAACATTGCCTATCTTTATATATAAGGTCAATATACCTGACTATACACCATCATCCAAACCTTTTTCTCTTCTGTTAATTGAATAAGCGAAATAAACAGCATGAAATGTGATCAGCTTTTTAACTTAAAGCACTAATTACGTGTATTATGTCTAAAACTAACTTTATCATCCTAGAACATTTACTTATAGTTAAGCTCAGAACTTTCTTGCACTGGTAAAGAAAGTTCAGAGTTTCTTAAATACAGGGAAAATAACCAGAACACATAATATTTCTTAACTCATTCACCCCTGAAAACACATTTGAATTCTTCCAATTCAAAGGTTTGAATAGTTCATTATGAAATTTTAGGGGTGAATTAGTTAAATAGTGAGATATGTATATAAGCGCTATCAATGTACACATTTTGTACACCTTTCAAGTTTTCATGTTTTTAGATAGCTTTCTGTTGAACAGTTTTGAAACATGAAGCTATATATATAGTATGAGGGTCCTGAGTATATATTCAAGAGGTAAATTTAGATTAACCCGAAGGGGTATTTTGGATTTGTGACAGTTACAGCATGCACTGTGTGATTAAGAGGATATATTTTAATAACCACTAAATTTGATATGCAAAAACACGGATCATATAACAACACAACTATTTGCTTGCAAACAAAATGTCTATCACAGTATCAAAGTTTAATAACTTATAGGTTCCAACAAAAAATATCACAGTTGTTGGAACAATTAAGGAAAACAAAGGCAATGTCAGCAATGTATAAACATATTTAAACAAAATGACTACAAATTCAACAGTAAAAATTTGAAAAATCATTCAACATATGCATAATAATTTATATCTTGAACATCTTAAAGATAGTACACTGTAGGTATGTAAAAAATCACAAAATTTAGTGTACGTTCCCACAGGCAAACTTTGAAAAATTTGATTAGGCTAATAGGATTTTTCAAGACTTGCCTGCAGAAGTACTTATGCAAAATATAGGGTGCTGGCCCTGGCTAGTTGAATTGTACTCCCCTTGGACATAGGGTATGTGTCGGGTAGTGGGATTGCACATCCCATGGATATAGGACATGTGTCCGGTAGTGGAATTGTACAACTCTTGGATATACAGAGTGTGGGCTAGACGAATTGTACACCCCTTGGATATAGGGCATGTGTTGGGTAGTGGAATTGTTCAACCTTGGAAATAGGATGTCGGGATAGTGGAATTGTACACCCCTGGAATACAGGATATTAGCCTAGTGGAATTGTACACACTTTAGACAGGGGACAGTCATTTGACATGTTGAAGAATTGAAAAAATATACGAAAATACCGATGCATATTAACTATTAGACTGGCTACCAGCCCCTAAGATTTAAGGAAGAATTTCTCAGCTGCATTTTACTACTAGCTTATCTCCCCCTAGTTTAGAAGAATCAGACATCCAAAATGCAAGTGATCAACATTTTTTGAGTTTAACTTTTTTTTAATAATTCAATATTCTAGAGACGGTGGTCAGTCTAATTAACTATGCGAATGTTGGTAATGACAATGATAACAGAAAATCCTTTCATATTTGTCAAAAAAAAAAATATCAATTAGAATTCAAGCTTACTAATTCAAATTACTGATACAAGTCAGGTTTTTAAATTTCATTTCTCTTGCAAAAATATTATAAAATGCAATTCTTGAGAACAAGGTAACCTGATTAATGTTGAAAACCAGTAAAGCTCAATTTTGTTATAACTTTGACCTCCTTTGATTGTGTTTTGTTACTCAACTGAATCATTTATACACACCAGGTATATTATTATGGCAATATATAGCAAGTGTTGTTCAGTTTCTTTATTGTATATATGATAACTTCAAAAATCTTCAATTTGCATATTTTTTTTTAAATGGATACTTCTGTTTCGTTGAAAATGGACATTATAAAAGTTATTTTGAACTATTGCTATCCCGAAAATAATTGTTTACAAGTTTCCTAGGAAAGGAACCTCATGTCAAAAGTACACACTATCATATTTCATACTTGCTAACCTTTCCAGTTTTAACTGGAATGAAACTATGTGACAAAAAGCATGTACAAAAACCCTAAAACATTAAGTAGTGAAAAATACCATAGCTTAAGCTGTTCTATCAAATGAAATAATTCAACTTGAACAAAAAAACAGCATGTTATGAATTCTAATTTCAAATGTAAAAAATAAAAGTGAAATGATAAATTAAGCCTCCCTCCAAAACTGGGAGATTTTGTCAATAAGATAAATAAATAAAAACTTACAATTCAAAAATCATTTTTAATTCAATAATCATTTTTTTGAAATGAAATTATCAGAAATGATTGCTTTAGATAGAAAATAACATGAAACATCAATGCTGGAAATGATCAACTTTGTAAAAAATATTTTATAAGACTACAGGGTGCAATTTATCAGCATCGGAAAAAAAAAGAGAGTAAATTGGGTCTACAGATCACTAAATTTGTACATTCAATGGAATGCTACTTCAATTAAGTGGAATGATTTTTTGAAAATATGTTATGGCATACGGAAAAAAAATCATATTTTACAAATCTATCTGTACCATTCATCTTATCTAAAAAAAAAATTGTATCAAACAAACTTGGAATTGAGCAGTGAGAAATTCAATTATTTTCACAGCAGTCCAATACAATAACTTCTATGAGTAGCAATCGTCTTCCTCTGCCTAGAAACATATCACTCAAATAAACATTACATTCCCAATCTGTCATTGTGAAGACTCTCCAATTCCTCAATCAGTAGCTGATAGCTTTCTTACAGCCCCTACAAAAAGGATTGGGAACCCAAACGAGTCCACTAATGACTGGTACACCCCTTACTCAGAGACTGATCAGGTCAACACCGAGTCACAATGGCACTGTTTGATTTACCATCCAGTGGTAATATAAATCTTCTCGTTTCCCTCAACAGCTCTTCATTTCTCAATAGCACCATTTCCCAAAGAGCACAAACAGAAAACAACCTTAATTTTTTGGCACAGTTTACATGTATTATAACAGGGAAAATATTAAAATTTATTACATTTATAGCAGAGAACAGATGACAGGGGCAAGACACATATTATGGGTGGTACTGAAGCTAGAATTATTAAAAAAACAAAAAACACATACCATATCTTTACTCCATTCAATACAGTTATACCCAATAATTAAAATATGTGTCAACGAAACAGCATTATTTTTCTTGTCTTGGCCCTGTGACAACAACTAATGCATTATTTGTATACCTCATTGTTAAACTTAAATAATGTAAACATACCTTGGATTAAGACCAAATAAAACAGATCATGCTTCCAATGTTCTGAAGTAAATAACTATTCTACAAAGTTACTTATCTCCAATATGTAGGCAAGTACAACAGTCATTTTTGTTTTTAATTTACCTCTTTCCTAAAGAGACAAGCCGGTGAAAAAGTTGGATAAAGACCATCATTTAAGTGAATGATGATGAAAAAAATATCTTGTCATTATTTCAGTAGTTGTTACTTAAAAACAGAGCAAAAAAATATATAGAAAGGTATTTACTAAGACATATTCAAATGTACAAATACACCATTGTTTTACAACATGTAATTTGACAAAAACAGTTGCAACGACAAGGTCCCAATTTCTCTAAAAAAAACTTTTAGCTCTTATTTTTCTCTTGGTTTTTTTCCTGACAAAATATATATTTCATATTGGATCAGTTTCAAATTTTTAATCATCAAAGAATACGGTAGTCCATATTCCTTTGGGAAAAAATCTATATTTTCAACCTGCTTTTCTAAAAGTTCTTTTTGCTATAAAAATCTTTTTTTGTAAAAAAGTGGATTTACAAAATTTCATTTCAATATAAAAAAAAAATCCAATTTATGTCAGTCAGAGCAAAACTTATTTACAATTGTTTTGCATGAAAATTGTAATTATTAATTACATTGACAAAACAAACGTCTGGAAAAGTTAGAATCATGATGACCTTAAGATTACATTTATGTTACCTTCCAAATTATAACTGTGATGTGTCTTAAGACTTATTTCTCCAAATTCACTTTTGATTAACATATACGTATATACATGTACCATATGTATCCTGCAATAAAACCAAGGGGCCAATAAATATTCTCTGACTCAAGTTAGGGGGTGGGCTTACTACAGGACAATAAAAGAAGTGATTTTCTTTTGTCTAGTTTTACAGCTGAATACAGAGGCTGGTTTCCCCAGCAAAACAAAATGCTACATTTTCCTAAAATGAAGGAAAAATGAAGAACAACCTCCCTTATTTCAATAAAGATAATACTATATTTTACCAATTCATGAAGGAACAACATACTGTTGTAAAATTTAAGTAGGAAAAAAACACTGCAATTATTTCTAGGCATGGGCTTAATGCCATATAATTATGAGATCTTATGTCCAATACTGAAGAATAACTAGAGTGTAATCAATGCATTCCTTATGCATACATTTCAAATAGGTTTTCAACTTATACTCATTGTTGAGTCAAAATTACAATTCTAATTTCATATTTTTTGAATTTCTGTGTAGAGTTTGAAAATCTCTTATGGAAAGGAAACACATTTCTAGGTAAGGAAGCTTATATATCTCTTAGCACTTTTTTTGAGAAATTGGGATATCAAGTCACAGACACTTTGTACTTATCACAAGGGAACTACACAAAAACATCGCTGTAACAATATAGTGTCTGTTCATCCTACAAGCTAGGATCACACATCCTCAGGCCGACTTGAGAACAAGGTCAGTAAGGCCATTGGCCTCTGCAATGCGGTCCAAATGTTTGATGTACGACGTTCTGTCCTCCATGAAGGTTGGCACCCGTGTCCCCTCCAGATCAGCATACCCTCTCAGACGTTCAATATCCTGGAACGCCACTTTGCCAAGTCTCATCATCATGTGAAAGTCAATCTGACGACGGTATTTCAATATTTGGAGTGCTCCTGATAAATACACCTGATCCTTGGAAAATGCACCTGTAAAATATATAGAGTTTTTATTTCCAAAAGTGATCAGGTCTTTTAAATATTAAATTACTCATATATCCTACAGATTTCACAGTATATACTTAAACCCTGTATCCATATAAAATTGAAGCAAAATGATCTAGTAGATTCCAAATATATTTTCTATTTCTATGCAATATAAATCTTATATATATGTAATTTAGACATTTGGTCTTTTACTGAATACCATATTGGTTCAGCTTAGAATAGTGTATCTTTGCTTCTGTGATAATTTTAATGAAAAGTATGAATGACCCTTTAGTTGTATATATATTTAGTCAAATTATAGTAATTTAATAAGCTACTTTTGTACGTATGCTTACTGTGATAATAATTTGAATGCTCATTTGTTTTCAATAAGATCATGTTTTTAACTAACCCTTTTACTAACAGAGGACCATGTGGAAGATTAGCTTTGCTAAACAGGTTTTTATCCTCAATAAATAAAGTTTATTATTATCATTATGAATCTACAGAAATAACCTGGTGTTGAGGTGTCTATCTGACCACGTTTTGCCCGGATGCAATAGTCCCATCGTACATGTGGGTCACTGACGAAGCGGCCCAGATCCTTAAACAGGTCCTTGAGAGACAGCTTGGAGGCCATATACACTGTGTAATACAACAATGCTGACCTCCATAAACAGGGGTTCTTACGGAACAACACACTATGTAGAGAGGCCAGCCCCTCCTCTGTTGGGTTCATAGGTAGCATGTCTAGCTCCTTACGAACCTTCCAATTATACCACGGTTGGAACTTAGTGTTATAACTGCGGACATAGTGAGTGCCTGCAATACAAATATTGGCTGATAGATTCATATGAAGACATGTATCGAGATATTCATAGCTACATGTTTTACATGTTCATGTAATATTATAAACAAGTTTGACGTACAACTTATGAAATGAACACTTTAAAAGTATATTATGATTGATATTTTTTGTTAGTTAGTTTAGCAGGTAATGGACATTATCTCATTCATCATATACAATGTAGCAGCATATTTGACTACATTGGATGCATCGCATGGTATCAAAATTCTTCTCTCACGTTGATCAGGTTTTCTCTCCTGTATTTTAAACTTATAATCACAGATAAATTAATCATAAATTGCATGCAATATTCTTGTTTGAATTTGTATGCTTTCACCTCTTTTTGTTCGCCTTGTGCTTCACCCTCATGGAACATAATGAATCTCCAGGAAACAAATATTTGTGTTTCCCTCTGACCAAGAAACAAAATGTGTGAACAATAAAATATATATACAAACCAAGTTCATGTCGAAGGAGTCCATCCACCCAATACTCCCTGAGATTACTGACACGAACATTAAGCTGAGGTTTGCCTTTATGCCTTGTCATTGATCCACGGGATAGGAGTTCCTCGGTCAGATTGACAACTATTTCTCTTTCTATATCTTCTTTTTTGAGGTAACGCTGCACTAAGTTGTTTATTTGTCCCCGCGATATTATCTGACCACCAGTCTCAGCTTCAAAGTTCTCATAACATCCGTATTGGTCAATAGCTCGCTCCATTATAAGGATTGCCTGAAAATAGAACAGATAAGTGTGTTAATTGCATCCTTTTTTTTTTTTTTTTTTGACACGCATGATGCATACATTCAGTAGCCTTTTTGTGTCTGCAACCTGAACGTCATCATTGACCTGTAATAAACTATTTGCAGTTCAGTAGAAATGCAAACAAACACTATTTCATTGTCCTGTTAATTATACTTAGCCAATTCTCCTCAATCATGAGTCACAGATTATGTGTTGACTTAAATCTGGTCTTACTGCAGCATAAACATGTTTATTCTGTTAAACACTGCTTCTAACAGCCATGGGATATTGAACATTTTAAAGTGGAGGAAGTATTTATGTACTAGTGATCAGGCTGTAACTAATATAAATTGTACCACTGAAAAATCTTACACTATAACTGGTACTCATAATACATGTACATGTATAAATACCAGTGAGGATATGCTTTATGATTTTACTTCCATAAAATACAAAGACTAATAACCGGTGATGATGTATATATAGATCTACCTAAATGTAAAGGTAAATGAAAATAGAAAATGAAAATGAAAAAAGAAATGATGAGCAACAACAACACTGAATCCGGTACAAAATGTAATGTTTGGTTTACATCCTACGTGCTGACATGTTTCGGCCGAAGGGAGGCTGTCTTCAGAGCACAGTTACATGATGTTTGCAACTATGTACCAAGGGGCCGAAAAATGTCAGCACGTAGGATGTAAATCAAACATTACATTTTGTACCAGATTCAGTGGTGTTGTTGCTCATCATTTATAGTTTCATTTTCTCTGCTTTCCCTGATGAGCACTGTTGAATACCATTTAGGTATCCACCCCAGGATCCCTACCGCCACTATGGAACTGACTTCCTTGCAGGGACTTTGGGTCTCCACCCCCCAGTTGTTATTAAATGTAAAGGTGCTTTTTATCTTTCCAAAAAGCAGTAACAGGTTAATTAACAATATATTTGTCTTTTTTCAGACAGAGAAATATTGGTAAAATTATGTTTTGAATTATGCCTGGTTAATCAAACTCTACATACCTGTGGCAGAAGCTTGTCAGATGCCATGCTGACTCTTTCTAAAACTTCAGCATCAGCTGGGAATTTGTAAATGAAATAAGGATTGTACTGACATTTTGCTCGCAGAAATCTTTCCTTTTCTGCCTTTTCATTTGCTGGTTTGATTGCTGCAAGAAGTGAAACTTTTTTCCTGCGTTCACTGGATGTTGGTTGGGATGATTCAGGTAGTATAGAAGTTCTTTGTCTCCCAGGAGGTGTGGCTAATCGGTCTACGGAGGAGGCGAGGGCTGTACTACTTGTGGACATGGGAGTGTGTATAGAGGGTAGACGTAGACTCCCTGCTGTGCTAGGACGATCACAGAAACGGAATGACGAAGAAGATGTCAAGCCTCGGTGAGGAGTACAACTAGTGCCAATTTCCGACTTTGACTCCACAGCAGATGATGATCGGATCTTTTGTCGACTTAAAGGTTTCATGACTTTAGGACATTTTTTGTTTTTTCTTTTCTTTTTTCGAGGAAGCTTTGCAGCAGCAGCAGTGCCAGGAGGTGGTAGGTTAAAATCTAGGGGATTCCCCACTTTGTCCTTCATGGTTGAAGCTTTAGTTACTTTTGTAACATTGTGCATAGCAACAGCCATGACTCAATACGTGTGACAAATCATTCATTACAGTCATATTGTTAGGGCAGCAGAAGAAATAGAGATGAAAGCTGGTGGTTCAACACCTTCTGCAACAGGTTCCCCATGTTGAATGTATACATCTTGTTCAACGATCAATTCTCATCACAAAGCTATAAATGGCTCCATTAAGAGATCTAAAATATAAAATTCCATAAGAAAAAAAATGAAAGTTGTTTCCTTTCCAAATGTATAAAATTCGCCGAGATGTCTATTTAAAGACGTCAATAATTATTCGAAAATTGAATTTGAACTTGTTGCACTAAATAACTCATGTATGTTCAGTTTTAGGGATATTTTGGTCTATGCACACATAAATTGCATACCTTTCCTTACATTAATAAACACATTGTGGTAGACAAATATGTAGTCATCACTTTATATATGGAATCCTGTATTGAAACAATTGAAACTTACAACCAATCACAGGGCTGATAGGTCATATTACATGGGTTAATACGCAAAAAACCCCACCATGGTTATATTCACTGGATAACAGAGTACATTATGTGATAAAAAATTGTATTGGCACCTGGCCCCTTCTTTCTTCATACAGATTTATATATATATTTATTTTTTCAATGCACATTTTATTAGACACTATATTGCCAAACATATGTAAAAATCAGTATTTTTCACAGTTGACTGCAGCTTACATCTTTTACCTCCTTGAAATATGATCAATTATCGTTAATTTCTAAATTATCAGATGATTCAAATATTTCATTCCAAATGTCATATTTAGAAAATGCCTTTTGAAATTATTGTAGATTTTACCAAAAAAATTATAAACAATCAAATTGTTGAGATATTAAAATATATTTTTTTATTCTTAGATTGGGTTTTTAGTCCAGGACTGGGAATTCGAATGGCATACAAGATTTACTGGGGACCCATATACTATCAATATCTCACTAATATCCTTTAATTTGGACGAAGTAACATAATAATGACAAAATCACATGAAGTGCTTAGTGACACATTTTGTGTATGAAATTAATAAAAATTATATAGAAGACCAAGAACACTTAATTTGTGACTTAAAACTACCGAAATTAAAAGAAAATACCAAACAATGTTTCGCCCTAATATTTTTGTTTTAGGGCGAAACAACCTAGCGCGAATCAGCCTAGGGCGAACGGGATTTCGGGCGAAACAACCCGGAACCAGGTATCAAGTGTTGCAACGGTAAGATTGGTAGTAGGGTTATAATTTTGGTAAATTAAAATTGGTGTTTACAAACATAACAAAATGGAAAAATATTCAAATGTATCAGATTAGAATACGGATATGCGGTCTGCACACATACAGGTACATATACATACTAATGTAAAACAGCTGGCATGCACAACTCTTGTCGGAACAAAACACGTTTTGTTAACATGAATTTATATTCTAAGCATTCACTAGAACTTTAAAATTCAAACATATATTTCATCAAGATTGACATGAAACAAATGAATTCATAGTCGTAGGTACAAGGTAACCCTGGATCAGGAGCCGATGTCCAGTAGTCTAAATTATGTTGATTCGTTCATCCAATGACCATGACCTGACGAATGGCATTGGTAAAGTTAACTGAGATGAATTAACGAGAATAACATGACTAAACACAGAACCTACCCTGGATTAAAGTCATTGCAAACACCTACGTTTGTATTGATTCATATATCACGAAACAGCCTAAATGCCATGAAAATGACAAAATGCTGAATTGTCAACCCTAGCAACCTTTCAAAAGCACCGACCCGGAAGTTGTCAAAGATGTAATAAAAATGGACCCGTGCAATTTTCCGGATAATTTCAAGATAAACCATCGAATGTAAAAAAAAAAAAAAATCAACAAAAATCAGCGATTTTTTTCTCAACTCTTACGGAAATTGTAGAAAAAATAACTCCTTCAAAAATGCTGCCATTTATTTTTGAATCCAGTTTTGATATTATGAATATATTTGTATAATTTATATAATTAAGCAAGAACGTAAATGACATGAACATTTACAAATGCAGTAAACTCGCCCCCTTCTAAACTGAATATGTTATATTGGGGTTGGGGCTAAGCCAAGTTGTGAATATAGAATCTAAAAAAGAGAAGGCGTCAGTGATAGGTCCATGCTGAGTTTCTTTATATTAAATATCTAGGATATGATAATAAATTCAAATAAGCAAACGCCCTTATATCAAGCGATTGATTTCCCAAACCTCTAGTCTCAATCATATGTCGAGATATACTAGAAGTTGCATACATCCCTTTAAATCCTCTGCTTAGGACTAAGCAACTCACATTAATGGCAACCGTATCTACATTTATTTAAGGATATGCCTTTATACCCTCCACTATTTTATTTTTAGATATCAGGTGTAATATGGCTACTAATACAAGATACAAGATACTAGAACCTTTATTTAACGGCGCATACAGGTAAACAAGGAACATTAGCTCTTGAGAGCTATTATTGCGACAAACATATGTTAAATTATAACAATAACATATTATATCACAAGTAAAGGGAGATAATCACATATATTAATAAAAAAAAAAAACACCAGTAATAATCATCACAGACACAGAAAGTATCCATATCTCATGTTTCTAAGTGATTGGGAGTCCCCTACCTACAAAGGCCCCCTAGGGGATATGACCCTTTTGGAACAATAAATATATAAAAATAGTGTTAATATATGAAAAGCATTGAATGTGATCAAAGATAAACTGGTAGAATAAGTAAATTTCACACAAGAATTACTTAGGACTTAGGATCAAAATACTATGAAGTGGAATATACATACAATGCTTATATAGCAAAGAATAAAAATTGAAAGAATATACACTATTATAGTGTGAATTAAAAATGATACCATAATCAATTAACAAAATGTATGAAGTTTTGTAAAAATTGATATTTTAGAATACATAGAAATGAAATAGAAATAAGATGCTGCAAAATTATAGAATATAATAAAACATATAAGAAATGAAACAAGACAATAAAAGTATCACACAATCCAATCAGGTGACAGAGGTAACCAGGGCACAGTATGAAGTATCACTCTTTGCAGATATTGCAAAGGCAGATGGGGCCATCCTAGGAATGGACCAGCCTCCTGAATTCTTTGAAGTTTTTAACTTTTCGGAAGTCATTTTGGCGACTGTTCCGCACCCGGACGGCCTCAAAAGCAAACGATTTATGTCCATACTTCACAGTGTTGACCCTGGACACCTCTGCAGTATTTTCTTTCCTGGAGACATAATTAGACATCTTAATATTTACAAGATTGTGAATATATTCAGGAGAAATTTTGTTTATAATTTTAAAAAATTACAAAAGTCTGCCTTGTTTGGTTAAAAAAAAACAATTCGCTTTAAAATGGACAATTGCCTGGAGACTTTCCTACAAACTTCAAAGATATAAGCTTCAAAGTTTAGAAATGAATCAAAGTTCACACCTAAAAGTTTGACAACAATGTCTGGAACAATATCTATTTCGCCAATACTAAATAGACTGTATAGCATCTACCTAACGTTTCCCTATACAAATGGCCTGGACTTTATCAGGGTTTGCTTTCATCTGGTTTAATTTAAACCAGTCTATTAACTTTTGACTGTCATTTTCAATGTTATGTTTTAAAACATCTGGGTCTTTATTTGACTCTGACAGTGTTGTCGTCTGCATAATTATATAATTTACAGGATGTCACATATTAAAACATCATTTTTTTATCATGAACTCTTGGTTTGTCAACGGTAGTTGATAATAAATTAATGCATAAGTAAATAAATAATAAAGAGTGAATACTTGAAGTGTAAAAAAAAAACCATAACGAACTCAAAATCGCCACTTGAAAAAGTAAGGAGAACAGGATCAAGTGTTCCAGAAGGGTAAGGATCTTCATCGACGATAACCGCTATGGTAATCTATATCTAAACTAAAATGTGTCACGACCTCATGGCGAGAAACGAGGAATTGATAACAAACCACAAAGCACATATAAATGAGCATTTTCAAAAGCATCGACCTTCACATCACACTTACCAGAACATACACACACGTTATAGTTTGGTTTGGTTTGGTTTAGTACTGTTTAACGTCCTATCAACAGCTATGGCCATTTAAGGACAGCCTCCCCTGTGTGCAAGATGTACTGATGCCGACTTTATAGTGCTACCTCACCGAAACATACTGCCGAAGACACCCAGCAGAACACCCCATCCGGTCACATTATACTGACAACGGGCGAGCCAGTCAACATATCATAGACTCTGGAACAACTCCAAAGTACTTGAAGGTTCAAAGAAAAAAAATGAAGGTGAATCGATAAACAGAGACGAGGGGGAACACCAGCTGAGTCGCATTTATGACCTATTTTAACATATATTAAGGGGCGAAATGGGCAAACATATTACCCACCACTCTGTTACCTGCAGTATGAGTTTACATTTCAACGAAATGTCTCGATGTATTCTGACAGCTGACTTTACTAACTCGACACATGGTAGCTTAGTGAATTGTTCTCAGTAGTTTGGTCCTGAGACATCGGTCATTGGGATTCTTTGCTCGACAAAGACGTTTTCGAAAGCTTGCAAAACAAGTTTTAATTACAGTTTGTGTTCGAAACAAACTACACATTTATCATATATCACAAACAGATAAATTTCATTCCGAAGGAACATCATAATGTAATTTTCTCAAAATCATATAGTGAAGTTAATGGATTGTCAATAACAAATGATATATCCAAATTCAAAATGGATTTCAATACTTTTATCATAGTGATATGCATAAATTATTTCATGTGTGCGTAAATATTTTTAACATTACAGAGTAACATTATTGCTATATGATATTTATAATTATTGGACCAATTACTCTCTTCAACATTTGAATAATGCATTTTTTTCTCTCTCCAAAATGCTTCCCAACCTATGGTGATTACATGTCACAGTTGATTATGTATTCTAAAACTTGCTCCAAATATCATGACTTCTGTGATACATGTCGACTGCAGACAGACAAACTTACGTTCACAAAGTTTCCAAAGACGCAGGTTGGTGAAGACTATGGACCGGTTTTAAGATCGCAATCCTGGTCTCATCAGTTGGGATATATATATATATATATATATATATATGTGTGTCAGTACTTCTTTATGTGGGGATATACGTCATATACCGAAAACACCGAAGAAGAGGTATATGTGCTAAAATGCACACATAATTCTTTGTTAATGTTTTGTTATGTTTATATACTGTGTGACTCGTCAAATATTATCATGGTTATTCCTTACAATTCAATTCAAAAATATAGACAACACCTTTAAGTTGATAGGTCATGATCATTTATTCAATTTTGATAAAACAAGAGTGTTTTTCCCAAAACACAATACTACACTGAAATTTCGTCGTCGAGCAACTGCAATCATACAAGAAGTTTTAGATTGACGAATACAGCGCCAAACATAGCGGTTAACGACGTCATCACTTTCTCAATCTGCCTCATTTTCTTTAGGTTATACGATATTCCGTCCTTGCGTATTGCAGAGTTCTCTTCTTTTGTGAGCAGGTATTGACTGCTACGTCATGGACATTTTGATAAGTTTTCCAAGACACGCGTGTAGTTTTATTTATAAATCAACTTTAACACTGTTTTCCCACAACGGTTTCCAGGTCTTCGGTAATACCTATCTGTTACACTTTAGAGTTCGATTTTATTCATATACTTCTTCGTAATTAAGGTAGATTGTCCAAAACAGGAACTGGAAGAAGAGATAGGCAACCGGGTACAGGATCCGGAAGTACTTCTCAACGACACCTGTCGGCACCATCATGATATATTTGGCACCGAAGGTGTTCATCAGGTCATCATTTCTATTTCCGGTTGTTTCTCCACTTGCAGAACCATCCTACAATTAAATAACAGTCATTTTAGATATGTGACGAAATTGTGAAATAGAAAATATCTTACTTTTCATTGGCAATATTGACGGTGAGTGGAGTATGATTTTAATCCCAAATTACTGTACAGCTTTTCTTTTTCGTCGGTTCAATATTTTGTGAATTCACACAAATCTGAATACATAGGATTGTTTTCCATTGTTATGACCAGATCTTTAACTTGAAGTCATTCTATGATACGATTAATATTTTTTCTGGACTTGTTTTTCGAAAAAAAACACCGTTTTGACCAAGAAAATAATAAAGATTAAAACACGCAAAAATATAATCTCAAAGGTATATAAGTGTATTATAATATATTTGAAATTGTTTTTGGAATAACTTTTTGTCTTCTACAGACATGTACGGTATAGTTGGCAATTTTCGTGGGGATTTAATTTCGATATATTCGCGGTCACCAAAGATGGCGCGAAATTAAATCCCCAACGAAAATTGTCACTATTAGATCAAAAGTAATTTCGAAAACAATTTTTACCCACAAAAACATGAAATAATATATCAAAAAATTGCAAAATCGTTATTTAAGTCGAAAATTAATTATTACTACTGAACAAATCAGATCGGAACTTTGGTAGCTAAGACGTAAAGGATAATCAACTGTTTAAAACGACCGGGGTTCTATTCCCCGATCAGACGTGAAAAGGTATTGGGTCACCTGTCCGATCAAGTGGGTCTACTCCAGGGACTCCAGTTTCTCCCACATAAAAAAACCTTTAACCAATATAAGTTGAAAATAACTTGTTTCATAATTGTTGTAAGTATATATTTTTTCATTCAAATTTGCTTACCGATGAGAGTGTGTTCATGTCGATAAGATCTACATTGCTTCTCTGCTTGATGTCCTGGGTATCCCCGATTCCACCTGTCTGTGTACGGATTTTCTTTTTCATTTCCTCTTGTCGTTTTACCTTTTCTTGGAAGATATCTACAGCATGTACAAACGTATATTCAAACATGGCCACCACAACGAAAGTTAGAGACATCACAAACCACACCTCTACCGATGATATATTGAATTCGACTGGCAGTAACAACTTTGTCCCCACTTGTTCGGTGATCATGGCTAACAGACACAACGTTCCGAGCTTTACCCTTGAGGATACCTCCGACCGCTCTATCCAAAAACTCAGCCATCCCACAAGGACGATAAAAATACTCGGCAAAAACAATCGTGCAGCGTTACTGGCAAAGCTGAAGTGAATGTTTACCAACAGCTGTAAGCAGGAGCTATCAACAACTGAAATACAAATAAAACCAGGCCTTAGGTAAGGGTGCACAGCATATGTCTAACTAGGAATATATTTTATGTAAATTTGATGTTGTTTGTTTGTCCTTTAGTGTATTAAACATTTTTGAGGTTGGCATCCGACACAATAGAGTACCCAAATTCATCCATTACCATAAATGAACCAAGATTTGCATATATTATCAACTCACCATCACTCTATCAACAAAAATGCACTTTCGTTTTAGCCAGTCAGTTTTATTTCAGCAATTTTCATTTGGCACATTTCAAGCCATACGTGTATTATGGAAATATGTATTGTAATTTTAAGTGTTCGCTTGTGAAAATATGTATTGAACTTCTATATGCTTCAGGATTTTAAATTAATCTTCCTTCAAGTTAATGATTGAGATGCATTGTATACTGGTATGTAAAACTGTAAGCGTATATAATGTCTGATACAGATGTCTTATAATTCCTATCTTTATGCTTAATTAATAATTACTTCAGGTGCTCCATTTTGTTTTACATCCGTGCTTGCATAGTTTTGTCTTTTTTTCTCAGTTTTTTTCTCTGAAATTTCATTTTACACATTTTGTTTCTGTGAAAATAGTATGAGACAAGTGGTCCAGTCTTGTTTAAATGGAACAAATTAATACAACCAAGAACAACTTACACTACCTAACATTTGGTACAGTACAACGTACCTGCACTTGTATCTGAGGAGCACTTAGAGAACTGCCATGCATGAACCGCCACTTCTGAGTTGTCAAAATCTACATTTATCTGCGGTTTGTTGACGGAATCCCACTCCATTGATACCTGGTCCGTTGTGTACGAATCTCAAATGAAATATGAAATAATGTATGTATGACCTGGCATACTAGCAATAAATTTAGCATTCATGCATGTATTACACATTTTGTCAGAACACAGAAACGCCTTTATCTATTGAAAAATGCAATTAATCATGTTCGAAATCCTTCACCTTAAGAGTATTTTTCCATTATCTGATCACAAGAGTTCGTTACAGATGTCTAATACACATATTATATACTTATATAGGTAACACTACACCTAAACATAGTATTAGACATTTGTAACGAACCCTTGTTATCTGACCAAGGATTTACTTAAAAGGATATTCAAAAGCAATTATACTGATAGCCTATATCAATTTTATCTTCCAATTGTATTGATATTCTATATAAACTGATTTTCAGTATATATATAAATATTCTGCTTAAATTGATACTCCAATGAATTTTCTGAATTAAACATATTATGAAATCCCCAACAAAGTTCAATTGTCGTCCTGTTGGACATTCCAGGAAAGACATCCCCAAATACTTCTTCTTAATAACATTAAAATCATTACTCACGGATCCGGAACTTCATCAAACAATCATATAGACCGTTGGGGAATAGAACGCCTCTCAGATCACACGATAGCCCCACAGTCATTCTAAAACAATTGGAAAGTTTGAAACAACCGTCCTTAATCAAAACTTTGAATTTATAAAAAAATAACTTTCATTACTTTTTTTAAATAGTTTTATAAAGTAAACTTGAATTCGTACCAAATCCAATGCCTCTATATATAGAACGTTGAGATTTACTTTCCATGGAAATTTTAATAGGATCTATTATCAAAGAAACAAAACGCTAAACCAAAATGCACACAAATATTGAAATATAAAATAAAATGCCTCTACATAAAAAGTATTTCTCTTATTACTTGTCATGATAATTTATAATAGAATCTATGAAAAAAGAACCAATAAACTATAAAAAAACAATAAACACAAACATCAAAATATACCTCATGTGCCAATTGAATCATTCATTTACTAGAATAGTTTGTACGACGTAGTAAAAGTAAAAATAATAGCCAAGATAAATGTAAAATATCGTCATATATTTATTTCTATGAAAAAACCCATTCAAAACATACCTCATGCTGTATACGACAGTTCCGTTCGAAAGAAGCCATACAAAACGATTGGACATTGACGAATCGTGGATATGTGAGCGTAACTCATTTTCGATGTAGCTCTCTGCCAGCCATATGTTTCCGAAGTATTTACGTCGGACCACGTGGTAAGTATTCCTGTCGATGTCCGAGTTGTTTCCGAAGGGAAATTTGAGTCTAGGATCGTTCCAAATTTGGTAGTAATAAAATGTGAAATCGCTTTCCGACTAAAAAAGAGAAGAAAACGTTTCAAATCATTGCCTTCTTCGTTCAAAATAAATGAAAAGGACAACATTTCGAATTTGTTACATAAGCTATAACAAATTAATCATACGTATTTCATAAATATCAGAAAGTCGAAATATATGAAAACGGGTGAAAGAATCATTTTACACTCAATGCCACTCAATGGACCTGAAGCCAAATATTATTAGCCAATCATTTCAATTGTCTTGCTTGTATAATTATATTTTGTCCACAAATATACACAATTAATATGGAGTTGATGTTTATAAATGTTTATTTTTCAGCTTTGATTACCTATGATATTAACAAATGTGGTGAAAGGTTAATGGATCTGCTCTTGTGATTAACTGAAATTTTCTACTGCATGAGTTTAACCATATATGTAAAAGAGAAAATGAAACGATATATACGTGTATTGGTTTTCGGTCAAATTATTTGGCCAGATGTAGAGCGAATCAATACAATATCTTAAAGGTATGTTATCTGATTAAGTTCTTACTTTATTAAAAAATATTTTCTTAAAAACATACCGTATCAATCAACCTCATTTGGGTCATATGTGCAGTGATGGTGATCTTTGTTTGGTAACCTTAAATAGAAAACAATAAGGCATTAGCAAAGGAACGGGAGTAGGACAAATATACCCCTACACCTACCCCACTCCTTCCCTCGTCCATTAATAATAATAATAATAATAATGCGTGGTTCTTATTACCGCTTTATCACAACCTAAATCGTAGGTCGTCTCAAAGCGGTTCATAAATTATTATCTGTGGTGATAGGGCCTTTGTAACCAGCCAATATCTTTCTCAACTACCTGGGGAGCATACAGCCGGAGCTGCCATTTCGGCGCTAACAGCTAGCATTCAAAATTCTAGAACTGCCCAACCACGTACTGGTTTACAGCTGAGTAGACTGGAACAAGCAGAGTAAAGTATCTTGCTCAATGGTACAACGCAGTGGCGTGCCGTTACTCGAACCCGCATCCCTTCGGTCACAAGCCCGGCGTCCTGCCACTAGACTACCGTGCCTCCATTGATGTGTTATGTATCAATGTTACTTCATTATGCATCAGGATAAACAGAAAAATATCTTTCCAACGAGTGTACGAACGACGGAACTCTGCTACTATCAGTTATTTGTTAGTTGTAGCCTTGTAGTAGCTGAAATGCATTCTGACACGATTTACATAAACACTAGTTTAGGTAAAGGTAGTAGCTATATAGTATAGAGTAGCATACGATGGTCATGGGGGATATTTTTGTACAATTAATAACCCCTGTAAAATAACATGTATCTAAATTTGAAAACAGAATCAGCACTACAGTTGGCATGTACATGATGATGTGGACTAATTATGTATATGGGTTTCATCATTTTTCAAGAAAAAATGCTGCATTTTGTTTTGAGAGTACATTTTCGACCATTCCCAAATATGTGTCTATACAACAAAAGCTAGCGTTTCATGTAGTCTATTTTTGTTCTCAGCACATGTGTAAAATTTGTGCAAAATTCTCCCGATGAAGCTATGCTAAAACGCAAGTGTTTCTGTTACCGAGGTGGCGATAATTACTTCATGCGTCCGAACATCCTCGAAATTCCAGTTTTTTATGTACACCAAAGGATAAAAACAATCTGCTTAAAACATCCACAAGGTTTCGACTAAAGATAATTAGATTTCGCCAAGACATATTCCAGATGCAGAGAATCTAAGAAGGCGTAACCCTTTGAGGATGGCTTCTGATGAGTTTCAGAAAGGTAACGTTTACCTGTGTGATAAAAAGGAGGCTTCGAATTGTCTTTCTGTAGCATGGCTTCTAGCTGATATCGCCTGAAACATAGGAATAAAAGTTAAATTGACACCAGAAATAGTAAGACAATAATCAAAAGTAACTCTTCAATTTTGTTACCAAATAAGTCAGCAGGTGCGTCTGGTTAATACGTGAAGATATAAGTATATTATACACTTACTGTGATGGGGATAATTCAGCTGTAGCACCTCCACAGGATATTGCAAACAAAATGCAAAATGGTCTCAATATTATGGCCGCCATGATATCTTTTTGCCTACAAACGGTTCGAACAAATGGAAAGGATTCGCATAGAATTATAATGTAATTATTAAAACTATCGCAGTCAGTATTAGTTAAAAACTCTCAGTTATACCATTGATTGAGTAAACTAACTCTTAGTAAGCAAATATTTCAAATAAAAGATAGACAATAATATATAACTCGATACATCGCTTAAATAATTGATTTCTATGTCAGTACATAATTTGTACTTATGTTGCAGTATTTTAATACATTTTTTAAATTAAGATCTCATAGAAACGGAAACGTTTATAAAATATATATCTGTTTTCTAATTAATACTGGATACATAAATAAACTTATATTTTTAATCAGTTAGCTTAAATCTTGAAAATTATCATCTTAAAACTGATTTAAAAAATACACACAAAAGATAGTGAACATGACACTACACGCGTAAAATTATTTTAGGAAAAAATGAATGTGTTATTTTATGTGAGAGTTAAAATGTTATAATGTAAGTGCATTAATCGTTTCTCATCAAAACTATGACAAACATTTGCAAGCTGACGTCAATCAGCGGAAGATTGTAAAATATATATTATCAAAAACAACGAACTGTGGCACCTAATTTACCCTCGCAGTTTAAATCGCAAATGAATAGTTAAATAAGCATAGAAATAAATGATAAAATGGCAAAAGACCACAATGGAAATACAAATAACGAATCGTTAAAAAAAGAAAGGAAGAAAAAGAAAGCATAAATAGGAATTATGATTTTTATAAGCAGTAGACCATTTAAATACAATATCTTGTATTCTATCACAATGAATCATGTAAAACATTAAAGACACTACTTTTACTTACCGTATGTAGCTGGTGTGTAGATGTAACTGGAGATAGGTTGTGAACACTAACTAAACCCTAATACTTCCAAAACACCTGGCCATTAATGATCAGTAAGGTATATTAGTGACATCCATCACAAGTATTTTATGAGACACATAATCATCACCACACAATGTATAATGTTTATCAGAGTAGTTTGACTGCCAGGTCAAGACAAGTAGACTTAGTGTAACGGTAACGTACATGTATCCCCGCAGTAGGTCTAGACGTAGACAATTAAATAGATAATGTACATAGAACAAGAGAATCATTTGGGAGCTCAAAGTTGATAGAACCAAACAATGATATGAACTAAAAGAAAACAAAAGGACAAAAACAAATTATTCTACAATTTATAGTAGGATGCATTTGGCGAATATTACTGATCTGCCGAGAAAAAGTTTTCAACGTGAAAATTGTTTGTCATTGAATTTGGTGGTGAGGCGGATATTATTGTCATTCTCCAAGAAAATGTCAAGACATGAAATTGACGAAAACGAATTTGTGGCGTCCTTCATTTTAAGTAATCAATGATAATGAATTTCAAATTCTACAGGAGGATAATGAATTTCAAGATCCCAAGGGTAATGCATTTTGAGTTCTTGATGATAATGAATTGATTGTAATTTTTTATCAATGGCAATACATATATAATAATCCAAACAAATTAATGTGAAATGAAATAACCACATTGTCTCGACTTTTCCTCTAAATACATATAACCATTGTAAGAATCGTCATAACAATCTAATAACTTTGGCGGCAATAACATAGTGCGTGTAATGTATTCGTGTGTGCTGAAGGCGGTTTGTTGGTGTATTTGCCTCCTTGCGATAGCACGGATATGATGCAAACTTTAAAGTGCTACACACACGATTTCACTGCAATGCCAAGCCAAAAGCAGCAGAGCACTCTACCAGTTCACATTATACAAGCAACGGATACATTTCCCGCTAACCATTTTTTAGCTCAACGTCAAGCAGAGCGCAGCAAGTAACAATGTTAAGAACTTTGGTTTGTCATGGTAAGGGGACGGAAATCAAAAACTTCCTCGCTTTTGAGATGCGGCAGCGGATACTTCATTTAATGCACATGCAGTTCAGCAAAGTTCGTGGTGTATTTTAAAATATAAAAAAGTAAATGCAGCAGTGTTAAACAACAACAGGCCTGTTTATGCTGACAAAATATCTCAACTTGATATGTTGCTCTATCTGACCACTATCAAAATAATCTATTGACTCTTGCAACTTTTATTTGTTCATAGAAAATGAGCAGAAACATGTCATAAAATTATTTGTTTCACAAAAACACAACCGTTTTCAGATTTCTAATCAACGATATCAAATCTTTGCTACGCATTTTAAAAAAAAAGTTATTTCCCTTGGTGTGACCTTACTTAGATATGCGCATGCAAAGTTCAATAACTTGTTATGCGTCATCTTATAACGTAACCTATAGTTTCGCATTTAATAATGCTGTTAGGCAAACCAGCTTTCAGTTATATGAACTTCATTAAATGCACTGATTATCCACCTGCGTATCGAGCATCATGTGGAAAGCTAATAACATATTTTGATTGAAAAAATATGCACATCAGTAAGCGTGCAAAAATGCTAATCGATGTAATTTGAAGCCGAAGTACAGTTTTTTTTTTATTAATTACTGTTTGGTTAAAGCAGAGAGCTGTGACTAGCAGACAGACGGATTCAAGTGTCCACCAATGCTCTTAGGGAAGAATTCAATGAGTTTAGTAATAACTTCTGTGGACAGATGTGTTGGTAGCATCCTTCTGTGGTTTTATACAGTCTGTATCCTCTTACTGTAAAGGCCTTTATTTCCTAACTAGTAAAATATTATTAATATCAAAGGCAAACACGTCAGTAAAGATATACAGAATAGAATATTATATTTTGACACGTGAACATATCATGTGTAGTATTGAACTATCAAAACGATGCTTTCTATTCACATAATTCAAAGCTACAAATGTACAGTTCAGTTGCAGATGAAGCGATGTAAATTGGTTGGTTTTGGTACATCTTTGCAACATAAACTAAGGATTTTACTTGACTTACACATTTTATAACATTTCCGTTACAACATTTTACGGATAATAGCAGCGAGCCATATAACCTCGTTGAGTAACCTACCCAAAATGCCTCTTGAGGAGAGTTCTTGTTCCTGCTCTTTCCTCCGCTTTAGTAAATGATTCCTATCTCCCATTTTTCTAATCCTTTGTTTGTGGGGAAAAAATGAGGTTTCCGAACAGACTTCGTTTGCTCCAAGGTTTTGAAATGTAATTAAAATTAGTCTTTATAATTTTCTTGTTCCTCTGTTTCATTTTTCTCCCTTCCATTTTCTGTCGACTAATTTTTCCCATTCTTCATCTAGCAGTGTGTTCAATTAATGTGCTCGAATTACGTAAGCCTGTCTCTCATCAACCTATCAGCTGAAAAGCAGATAGATATTTAAATACAGAGCATGTCGAAGTAACACAAACCTTTTCCTTTTTTTTCTTTTCGTCTAACGAGTCATAAGAAACTACATCAGCTTAATGAAGCTGTAGATATATGTATGTGCAGACCTAATATTGATCAGATGTTTGTTCTGATTGCGCCCTTTTGTATTGCTACTTACTAAACTAACGTATCGAGTTCTTGAATATGATGACCACGTCAAACAATTTAAGCCGTTTGTTCGTTACAGCAACTTCTATATTGAAAATCACACAGTTTGATATGGAGACAAAAACTAAATAACACAATCAAGGTTCAAGTGAGATGTTCATCCTTTGTTCTTTATAGTGATATGATAGGATCGAACTGACATCTGTTTCGTGTAGTGTGCTGATAGATTCAGTCAAACGCGTGTTACGTGTAAGGCAATGAGAGGCTAGACCTTCTTTGTCTGGGACGATGATTATTTTTTCCAAAAGATATTTTGCATTGTAAGATTAAATACTCGGCTTATCTTTTGTTTTTTGAAGTTGGTTGATAGCCTCAACCTAATATTTATTCTGTGTCTGTTGTATGGTGATAAACCCGGAACTGTTGGGGTGCGTTAATACACTCGATATTAATTATTACAATTAGTAATTATTTCATACTGTGCCTGCAGCTGTTACTGAATATCTGCTTTGTACTAATAATTATAACGCAGTCAAAACAGAATCAATAAATAAACAGATTCAATATACAGTATGTATCTTTTAATAGTATGTAATATGTAATGTAAGCTTTTAACATCATTGTGACGGTTTCGAAGTTGGATGTCGCTCGTCTGCAACATTCAAAGGACAGGCATAAACCTAGGGTTTAAAAATAGGTTAACGCGTGTCTTTGATTATACCATGACAGTGATGCAAAGAATGCGAGTGAGCGTTACCCCTGGAATTCCGAGGATGTTCAGAGGAGAGTTTGACAATTTTTGATAGAAACAAATTTCCAGTATATCAACCCTTTCATAATCCGATCGCTTTTGTTGGGAACGCAGGATTTGATACTGTTTCTTTATTTGATTAACGTAAGATACGTTTTCGACATAACACTTTCGTACATGTCGAAAACCGTGCTTATATTGAAATATTTCTTAGTGAAAAGCTTTCTTTCTTGCTAACAAAGTCCAACGGTAAATATCGTCCTTCTATCAAATATTGGTTTCTTCATAGTTCAGTGAAATAGTCCAGAAGAAAAACTGGAAAACAAGGTAGGCGATAGCATACAAAATGCGGAAGTATTTCTCCACGCGACCCGTTGAAATCATCATGATGTACCTGGCACAACAGGTGTTCATCAAGTCGTTGTTATCTTCTGTACTGATACTTTGATCATTGATGGGACCCACCTGGAACACAGAGCATGAAACAAAATAATATTATTCACTAGAAAAATACACGAATGGTTAAATAAGTCGTCTTAATTATCCGATTACTTCGTTTACTGGTTCATTTAATTTTGCACTGACCTTACAACATGTGGGTTCAGTTTGAATTACTATTATAATTCTCATGAGATCAATTTAAAAGTGTGCCAGTTTGTGTTACTACCAACTAGTTGCAAAATGATATATTTTCGGGGTTTTTAAACCATAAACTATTTTAATAATAACGAAATTCAATTATTGATATTTTCTTCAGTAACTGATTGTTAACTTAATATGATATACTGCACCTTTTATATGGCTTTGGGCTTCACAAATACTGAAGTAATATAATAAATATCTACCGAATCAATCTTGTCCATTTCGATCTGGTCCGTAGAACCAACCCTACTGTCTCCATTCGTATCCACATCGCTGCCTGACACTTCACGTATTTCTTTTCTTTGATCCTCCTGTCGTTTCACTTTCAGTTGGAACACATCCACAGCATGTACGAATGTATACTCAAACATTGCAGCAACGACAAAAACTAAAGACATAATATACCAAACTTCGAATGCTGTTACTTTGAAATCCACAGGTAGGAAGAATTTCGCCCCTACCTGTTCCGTGATCATTGCTATCATTGAGAGTGTACCAAGTTTAATTCTTGCTGACACTTCTGATCGCTCGATCCAGAAACTTAACCATCCGACTAATACGATGAAAATACTTGGCATGAAAATACGTACAGCATTACTCGCAAAACCGACCTTGACGCCGAGTTTGAGCTCCAAGCAGGAACTATCTACAACTGAAATTTACGGGAAATATTGCCTTAAAAATCATTATCAAAAATGCAATGTATTTATAGCAAAAATATTTGCAAATCACAAAAAACGTATTGGTTATGTCAAATAAATGTATTTTAAATGAGTGAGTATAAGACGCAATTCAAAAGAGTAGACAAAATAAGGTAGAATTTACACTGACCGCATCGTTGACAAATGATACTGTGTGCGCGATCAACAACAAAGAGATTCGATAATCCCGGGAAAAGTGAGCATGGAGAAAGATTCTGAAGCTGGGAAATCAATCTTTATAAGTATATGCAACGTAGATTCGTCAAATGACATTAATTGAGATATGGAACAGAATCCCTCAAAATACAATTTTAATTGGTAAATATATGGTGAATATCTATTCTTGTGAAAGATATGCTATCAGAATTAGTGAGTTTAGAAGAAATAAGTATTACAAAGGAGTTTCGAACACATTGAGAAACAGACAATTCGTCTATTAAATATGACAGCGTCTGTAATTAGTCTCATACACCGACATGCAGCACTAAGCTGGAGAGTGAGCGGACGCATATCAATGAACCAGCTTGTCAAATAACCGCCGGAAAGGGACACAGACAGAGAACAAGCGGTTATTGTTCGTTCATAACACGAGAGTAGAAGGTCTGTTGGTTGCCGATCCAATACCTTTCCCTAGTGTGGTGAATCGAGACGCCGCACAAGGGAGAGGATTTAGCGGACGAATTGTCTCTTTCGCAGTTGGTTGTATATTTTCGCCATTCGTCACTCCTTTGTTATATTATTTGATTGGATATTTGATAATTAATGCTTTGAATTAATTGATTATTTTATACACTGTATGGATGTATATCTACACTTTTATTTTGATATTGAAGTTCTGTATACCTGCGCTATCGTCTAAGGTACAATGCAGTAATTCCCATTTATCCATCGAAACATCCTCATTGTCGAAGTCCATAGGAATAATAGGCTTCTGCAGGGTATCCCATTCCAACGATACTTTTTCTTTCGTGTACGAATCTTAAAATAAATGAAATAAAAATACGAAATAAGAATGGTCATATTTTATTTTTTCGATCAAAATCTGTTGTGTTCCTCCCTTAATATCCATAATATTAATAATGTATACGTATTTGGTGATAACTAAAACGTTGTCCAATTTAACATTATTATATGATGGATACAAATATTGTGTGTTAAGGCTGTATGCCACTTTACTGCGACATAGAATGTCTTTCCTAAAGGTTTACATGACATACGTATATTAAATTCTTTAAATCATTTGTTTCTGTATTAAATGATGGCGTATTTAACACAGACATAATGTGTACGATAGCCTACAACCTCTAATTATTAAAAATCATAGGTATATTGTGTCAGGTAGCATATAACGTTTACTCCAACACAGATTGCAGGAAAACCGGAGTACCCGGAGAAAATCACCGACCTGCGGATGGGTACCTTGCAACTGCTCGCGGTGGTTTCGAACCCGCAAGCCGTGGTGGAGGGAAACTGATCAGAGATGGTCAGATACCTTTACCACTGAGCCATCATGGGCCCTCAAACAAAACAACAGAAGGGGTTCCTAACGTTTATACTATATTGTAAACAAAGATTGTGTGAACTTACGAATCCGAAACTTGAGTCTGCAAACAAATAAAGCATTTGGAAATAGAACTCCTCGCAAATTACAAACAAGTCCAGCAGTCATTCTGAAATATTCAAACATTCATTAATGCTCAGCAGTGTTATCTGTCAATACCGACCCCTGAAGTACATGGTTATTGGAATCTTTTTTTATCACATTATACTAGGCACAATGAATATTTGTGATTGAAAAACCTGTACAAATCAGACGAAGCATTTTTTCCATTATTTCCACAAACTGGAGTAATCATCTCAAAACCTGGTCATAGAAGTTGAAAATTTCCATGACGTCGACAACAATACTTGTGGGCGGAGCTGTGTAAATTTTCTGCAAACGATGCACAAATGTTGAACGTCATGAACAGTAGATGTGGCCGGATATAACTATGGCTTATGCAAGTTGTTCCCTCTTACTCGGTTACTCCTAATGAACCGATTACACGTTGCTAAGTTTATTGAAACAAAATATGTGCCCTCTGATCAGACTAATGATAAATATAGAAATGAACCATTCACAGAAAATAAATGTACTCATAAGGATTTTTTTTTTTTTTTTGGTCAGGTATTCGTCATCTATGAAAATAATATAAATTACTCGTGCTCAAATGAAGTTTTCACCTCATAACCTCACTAAAATCGAAATATATTCATCCATGGATACATTTCTTGTATGACAATTTATTAACCTACCTCATACTGTACACAAGTGTTCCATTGGAGAGAAGCCAGACAAAACGATTGGACATGGACGAATCATGCACACGTGAGTGTAACTCATTTTCGATGTAACTCTCAGCAAGCCATATGTTATCAAAGTATTTTCTTCGAACCACGTGGTAGTCTTTCAAACCAAAATCAGTAGTATTTGCAAAAGGGTACTTGAGGCGAGGATCGTCCCATATTTGATAATAGTAAAACGTAAAATCAGCTTCAGTCTGCAATAAAAACAATGATTTTTTTCTTATTTGGTTTGATTGAAAGGGTTTATCATAAAGCAAATGTATCAACAGCTAAGTCATTCAAAGACATGACTTCATTTGTATAATGTAAGCGTGATTACTGGATGATGTATGTTGATGCATTTGCCTCATTGCGATAGCGAAGATCCGATGTCCATTTTAATGCAATGCCAAAGGCACCCATCAGAGTGTTCCAACCGGAACAACTATCACTATTAAAAACTAAGATATGCTCTGCCTGGGACAGAACCCGTTGCCTTCCGCACATTGACCAACGGTATGCAATATAGTCAATGTGTAAGGTGATGCTTAGACAGACCTTACTCGACGTATTGATTAAAAGAAAATCTACAAATATTGTTTAAATTCCTATAAATCACGTATGATTTTAGCTAGATATATTATCGTGAAGGTTTGTTTAATTGAGAAATATATATTCCGATAAAATAGAAACTGTCTCAATGTTATGGTAATTATTATAAAAAGGAAACGCTTTCGTGAAACCGTAAGTCGTTATTAATACAGTGTAACCTTTCATTGTTTTGTGTGATTTATATGAAGTAATAAAAGTCTAAGAATAAATTGTTTCGACGATTTTAATTTATGAAGTGAATAACATGTCATATTTTATTTTAGATGTAGTGTTTTAGAAACAGTGACCATTTCCTTTCCCTATAGAAGCGGTGAAGGTTTCTTCTGTGTCCTCTGCATAGATGTGTTTTACCTCACGTAACACGTTACATGTTGTCAGAGGCAATTAGTACGGGAAATACTTGAAAATTGTTTGGTTCCATCCACTGGGAACACAACAGCGATCACTATATGTCTACTGCATCAATTTCAACATCTAGATCATTTTGTTATCTCTCTGTTTCGACAAATGTCTTTTCTTGGTGAAACTTCGCTTTTGGTCCTGGTGTTGGAACACCTGCGAAAGCGAGGAACTTTATGGATAATGTCCTCTGGGTGAGACAAACCAAATTGGTAGCAAATCGTACTTGTTGCCTTTTTCTTTATGTTCAGCCTACAATGTGTTGCATCTAGGACTGGTTGGCCTGTTATCAGTATAATGTTACCGGTGGAGTGTCATGTTACCGTGTCCAGATTATGACATTTCATTGCAGTGACACTTATAATGACTTATGAGAAGGCTAAACTTTGGTTGAGACTGCATTCGTATGACCTTAGCTGTATACGAGGACGTAACATCTTAATTAAAAAATTGAGTAAGATATGTAATAGGATTGCAAGCGATCAAGTTCCGGTAATAAACATACACAAAATTCCGTGTTTTTTAATTTTTATTATTCTTAAATCATTTGTCACGTATCATAAGCTAATTTCGATTTATAAAACTGCACTATTGAGTTTAGATTGTAACACAACTTAATATACTCACTCGCTTCAAAAATCTCATTTCTGTCATATAGATGCTGATTCGTATCACAGTCCGATTACCTGGATGAAAAGTAAACATAAATAACGTTATGGTTATAGATTAAGTGTATCAATTAAATTTGTATCTGTCTAAACTGACAAATGCTAACAAACAATAAAGTATACTGAGGATAGCGTATTGCTTTTTTTCGTTTTTACAACTTTTTTATAGAATTTAGGGTAATCCGATATGTACCACTACTAGAGTAACAGATACACTGTTTTGATAAAACTTAACTTATTTGCGGGATCATACGAGAAGTGTCCAGTTATTCATAAAACAAATCGGCAGTGATCACCCTTTGATACAGGTGTGCCATCGTGATGTTTTTCGTCGCATCTAACACCTCAACAGCAAAAGCAGTAAAATGAGAGTTGAAAACTGTAAATAAATATCTAACTACATACAGTAATTGTTCACTATTACACAATCTTCAGAAAAAATAGAGTCCTTAAAATGTGTGGTATGTCTGAATATGTAAACTAGCATTATCGATATAACCAGACCGAACTGGGAAACGCAGATCATCAGGAAACTATAACAACCATATAATAGATATAATAGTGTGATTGATGACAGCATAAAGGTTTATAGCCGACATATCGCGAGACACGAATATGACTATATATATTTCTGCAGGTGTTCCTTAGGAAGCAGAAAGCATAAAGGTGAATATTTTCGTGCAAATACTATTAACTCAGAATATTGATGTTGTTTAATTTTGTTTGGCATACATGCTTCATTGTATTAAAGAATTGTTGAACATCGGTACAATACAGGAAGGCATATCCAATATTGAAGGAATGTGCGAACCGTCACCCTAAAGCAAAACGGGTTATTACCTGTATGGTAAAATGGAGGCGTCGAATGGTCTTTCTGGAGCATGTTTTCGACTTCATCCCTCCTGAAAAAGTAATACAAGGTAGATAGTTGGACGAAGTACCTAATGAACAAATGTTTTTGTTTATATTTGCAAATATACAAATATGTATTGCGTTGTCAATCCTCTATACTGCGTTATTAAACTTATTATGAAGACGTTAATCAATCATTGTAATTACTATGAATGTGTAAGTTAATATTTGTACAAACTCTGAATGTAAACTATTTAAGTTCGGGAAAACATTAACCTGCTGTATCCCACTGCATATACGTAATAGGCGACTAATGAAGGTGCCGTGCAGAATTTGGAGTTAAGCCTATGTCTTCTACTAAGGTTCATTGAAGAAAACAAAATGTAAATGCTGGTCTCTGGGCGGCTGGGATCTCCTGTCGTTACTTTTCTATACCTACCTATTATTTCCCATCCTCGATACTCTTGAGGTTACTCTCACTTTCGCTCTCTGCACCCCTGGAATATGTCAAAGCAAAATTGAAGGAATGCGGCGAGCTATTTGATTGGTCTCAGGTAAAATGAAACTAACCAATCGCTAAGGTTGATACATGTACCTGAACTTTGAAGATTACAGAGGAGCACACCCGATTTCAAAGCCAGTCAATGGTACCGTTACGCGACCGTCAGATTCTTTTGATGTTCATCAAAGGATCAAACTAGTCTTTTCATCTAATCAACAATGTGTGCACACTGGTACTGAGCTTTCGATTTTGCTATGACATATTCCAGGGTTGCAGAGAGCGAAATGAATCGCAACCCCTTGAGTATCGATGATGACTATTTTCTTTATGGTCATATCTCCAAAATTAACCTTGCTACTTTAGCTTTTTTTAGGAGGTTAATTACTAGTTATACTCACTGTAAAGGTGTTAAGGAGTACACATTTCCCGGCAGTGACAGCACACTTAAAATGCTGTACAGTAGCAGTCTTGGTGACATCATTCTTATCTATTTAGAAACAAAACGTATCAGAATAGCTTCAATGATTTTGTTCCATATCATGGCAGAAAACTATTGTCAAAAATGATTCTAATAATTTTGGTAAAAACCTGGTACTGGATAATTAACAACACATTATCCTGTACACTAGAACTAGATCAGACTTACCTTGTTTCCGTGGGAATCCTTCTTGTCATCCCGAGTATTTAACGTAAACATCGCCCTTGTCCATTTCAGACAAAACCAGTCAGAACTATAAATGACAGATAGACCACGACTGGACGTTGTTCAGGCTCTAGTTAACGACCCGGCACGTCATCATATGATCCAATCAGGCGAGTCTTACTAGCAACCATTTTATAGCCAACAGAATGTATTAGTGTTTACGAAACCTCTCGGCATATACGTTGTACACAATCAAACTTGCTATTCCACCATTTTCGTAGTACAGAGTATTACTTCTTGATTGCTTAACAGAAGTACGTACGTTAACCTCATTTTGATACACTCGCCGAATCCTTATTTCCTACTGGAAAGGATATTTCATGTCATATTGAATTTATTAAACTCGTACAATAATTGATATGGCACTTAATCAGGTTTTTGAACGAGTTCAATTAATTAAATATGACATCGAAACTCATGTAAGATCCTGTATTTTGTTTCTGTTATGTGTACTTTTTTGTCATTTATTGATTTATGTGATTTAATCTTATTCCTATCCCATATGATATTAGGAAAGACACCGACAGCTAATATGGTTGCAAATATTCAACATACATACTATTCATTTTAAAGATATTTTCCCGCAGAAATCATTTGAAAATGTACGTAGTGGATAAATGCGTGGCTGAAATTACCCAGATTATTTTGACATTGTTTTTCTTTCATTTGCTTTTTCTTAGGTTCCTACTGATGTGTATTAGTATCAACTTTGACTTTCGTATTATTACTAGCGTTCTTATATTATATCATTTTATATTTTGTCTTCACATTATGTTTATATTCTATAGTGTTCTATCTTATCCTGACGCTATGTGTATAGGTTTTATGTTTTTACGTTGTACTGACGCTATGCCAATGGTATATAAGTTTTTTACTTTGTTTTGACGCTATGCCTGTTGTAAATAAGTTTCTATTTTGTCTTGGCGCTATGCTAATGGTAAATAAGTTTAAACTTTATCTTGACGCTATGCCAAAGGAATAGAAGTTTCTACTTTGTCCTGACGCTATGCCAATGGAATAGAAGTTTCCACTGCATTGACGCTATACCTACGATATATACGTTTCTATTTTGTCTGGACGCTATGCCAAATTTATAATGTTTTTACTTTGTCTTGGCGCTATGCCAATGGTAGATATGTTTATCTTTGATTTGACGCTATACCAACAGTTTATAAGTTTCCACTGTATTGACGCTATGCCAATGGTATATAAGTTTCCACTGCATTGACACTATACCTACGGCATATAAGTTTTTATTTTGTCTTGGCGCTATGCCAATGGATTATAATTTTCCACTGTATTGACGCTATGCCAATGGTATTTACGGCGTTTTAACTTTGTGCCGCTATGCCAATAGTAAATAAGTTTCTACTTTGTCTTTACGCTATGCCAATGGTAAATAAGTTTCTACTTTGTCTTGACGCTATGCCAATGGTAAATAAGTTTCTACTTTGTCTTGACGCTATGACAATGGTATATACAATTTAACTGTGTCTAAACGCTATGCCAATGGTATATATAAATTTGATTTTTGTCTTGACGCTATGCCTGTGGTATATCATTTTCTACTTTATATTGAGAAGGATTTTAACATACTTGTATTGACAGTATATGTGCATGTATAGAACGTATTTTATTCAATCTTCTTCGTTTTGGCACTTCGCCTAAAATATTTCCCTTTCCGAGAATCTATCAAAGACGCTTTTCTTAAAGCATACAAATGTTATTGAATGACTTGAAACATTCCTATAATCTAATTGGCTGAGATCTGATTTGTTTATTTTGATATAATTTGTATCGATTTCAAAGCACCGAAAAGATGGATATAACATTATATAAGCATGTTGTCGTAAATGGCACAAACTTGGATTTCTTAGGGATTTATATTTTAAAACAGCCTTTCGAGAGGAAAGAGTTTTATGTTTTTCAGCCTCTTTTCTTTTTTTTTTTTTGCTTCCCAAAGGAGTAAGATTTACTTTAAAATAGTGTTAATGTTTTCAGGTGGGAATAAAATAACTTCAATATTTACGTTTTTATGGCTTATAAATGAGGTATATCAATTGATTTATTAACTTGTGGATTCTTTGATGTCTCTATGCCTTAGTCTAATAATAAAAAATGTATCTTTAACATTAGATGAATTTTGAGTTGAGGCACACGATGACAAATACTTTGATGGTGATCATCACGTAAGAGTTGCATCCCTTGTAATGTAATACAGTGCTGTACTATGTAGTCATGTGTAACTGAACTTAAATGGTGGATCAAAGGGGATCAGATGACCCGTAAATCGTCTTTCACTACATGCAACTTACATTGTTCTACACTGTAGCATATAGATCAAAACTAAACAAATACTGTGTAAGTAGAATTATAATTTAGCTATATATAAGGACTTCCTAAATGAATAAATAATATATAGCCCGACTTCTAAACTAGATGTAATACATTTCCGGTTAGCAACTGAACGTACACCAGTGAATTGCATAATCTATTTGTATGCGTCATTCATTGTGGTGTGCAAAGGTCATGTACGGTATTACAACTGTTTTGGAGGGTGTTTATATAGATGGGTATTGTCGTATTTATATATGGCATAAAATACATGTATTTCAAATATTTTCAAATATCATTTGAAATTCTGCATTAACTATTCAGTGACAAAAACTGCTTTAAAACAAGCTACATATATCTATACGCGAGGTCGAAAGATGAAATAGGAGCTCCACCGCAGGCAAAATGAAGGGTTTAGGAAGACATGTGTTTTTGTGCATCATGTGGCAGTCGTCAAATCCAATCAAGTAGTCTGCTTATTAACACTCTAATACCCAAATAATAGGTCTTTAAAGGATCTTGACACAATGCAGGCAAAACACTAGAGAATTTCAACGACTTTTCTACATACGGTAACCTCCATCTCAATGATTCTGAATTCGTTGACCAGGTTGTGCATTTGATCAGAACATGCATAGTTTCATTGGCGGGTTTTTTGGTACTGGTATGGAGTTCGTTGGTCAGAAACATAAAAATGAATATAACTTTTGAAAAAAATGTCAAATCCAATGATATATTTTTTAATAAAGAAGGGAAAGTTAACAATTATGCATTTGAACAATTGAAAACCATATTTGCTCGCAAGCAGGATCTTAAATTCACATTACTGGAGTAAGAGCGTAAGATCGGCAAATATATAACAAAGTGTCTTATTCATTAAGGCGTTTTAATGTATTTATTGTTCAATTATTATTTTGTTAACAATTGAAGGCATATAGAAAACAATGAAGAAAACATACCTTGATGAAAAACAAATAGCCCTTCATGCAGAAAGAATGAAATCTTGTTTTCCTTTCTATTTCAAAATACGTTACCAGTCATTATAATGCATATTCCAACCTTACTTGGCTCTTTACATACGTAAATAAAGAATTTCCCCCCATGGGGAACCCCTGGAAAACCCACCAATCAGACGGCAGTATTCACGCACGTGATCAGACACGAAGCCATGCTTCCCACTTCAAAATTCCTTCAGGCTTCCGTGTTTACGGACGTGTTTTGGTTTCTTCTACCGGGTTCCAACTGCTACTGGCGTTGTTTGTACCGATATATATTGTATCCTTTAATGCTATATTACTTTATTTTGTTTTAATTTAGCGTTTTGCTTTATTTTGCGCCTTTTTGCGACCAGGCTCCGGCCACGTGTTCGCGTTTGACGGTTTGTTTACTTTGAGATGGAGACCCCCACCCTTACTGTTTTAGTTGTCGGTCTTGCTCTCTGGAGCAGCCGTGTGACATTTGCCGTGCCTGGCAGCCGACTCCTGCCGGTGGTTCTCCCCGCCCGCGAGGTCGTTCAGGTAAGTCGGGTAGGAGGGGTAGGAGAACACCCGCGGAATTTCGACCTCTGTTGAATCTTCCCTGGGGTTCGTTCGGCGGTTGCGACCCGTACCGGGGCCGTTGTAAAATAATTTGTTTCATTGGACCCGGACCTTTCTCTCAACACACCCCCCCCCCCCCCCCCCCCCCCTT